CCCCGGTTTTTTCCCCGATTTTTTTCCCCGGAATTTGCGGGGTCTCCGCATAGAAAATTTGTGAAAGCAAGTGCGCTCTGGTAAAATATCGCGCCAATTTTGAATTTTGAATTTCAGAGAAATTTTTCCAAATCGATTTTTCTTGAATTCTGGTTAATGCTGAAACATGTTGAAGTTCAGCAAAAATATCTTAACAATGGTTTAGTACTGGCTATATTTCAAAATTTTACAGATTGTCAATCTCATTTGAATATTCACATGCAGATTAAGTTGATTCCTACTCCGTAAGTTTTCAGCTGCCTGAACAATCATGATTAAAATGAGAAATTCAGTGATGGAATTACTGAGTGGATGGCTATTGAGCTGCATGGAATGATTTCTCCCCAGGAGGGTAGTAGCTTCGATGGCAAAACTCTAGGTTGGTTTTTGAAGTTCTGGTTTTCAAATTGAAATTGTCATTATATTGAAGGTACGATATGCTGGGGCGATCGCAACAACGTTTACATGATTATTGGGAACCAAACACTTGAAGGAAAGGTAAATATTTATCGTCTTGTAGTTTTGTTTTCAATGAATCATGACTTTTACTAGATATCCAAAACTGATCGACCACTGCTGGTGATTCAAAGAAGTGGCGATAAAAATCAGGATTGCGGAGAGAAAAATGCGACAGTTAAAGCTGTGATCAGAAAGAAGATCGTTTTCAAAACACGCCCTAGACCATTGGTTTTGTCGACAGCCATATAAATACTCACAAGGGAACCATGTTTAGCCTTCATCTCAGAGTTTTTTCTAAATTTGCTCATTTATAGTTTCGAATACGGGCTTCTCATGGTGTATTTGGTTGTCTGCACAAATTTCTAGAAGTCGAGAAAATTCCATCTGAAATTATGCTGTTTTTTGGTCTCCTCCTTCCCTTCAACTTTCCCCCTTTCCTCTATACATTTTCCACTGTGAAAAAAGCGAGCAACAGTGGCCAAGTAGATAGTGGTGATGAATAGTAATCACAAGTTTGGGGTTCGATTCCGTCACTGTCCATTTTCTTCTTTTCTTTGATGTTGGAGGAATGCTTTGAACTTTTCGAAAATCAAAACTATGTTTGCTCTATTATTTCAGTAGGAAAAAAGCTCGAAAAAGATAATTTCTGAAAAATTCTTGAAGCACTGCTGAAAAGCCTTATCCACTCAAAATGTCAGTCGAAATCCCCCTATTTGATCATATTGGTTGCGGAACTGTTATAAATCAGTCAAGAAGTATGTAAATCTATGTTTTCACAATATTTGAGTGCTATTGGGTGATTTTCGAAGGACTACGATTCATTGGAGTTTTGGAAGAAATCACTTATTTCGGATTTCAAAACGGATATAGGCTACAGAATCTTGTGAAAAGACTCATTTTATCATTTTTATGCGTTTAGAATTCATTTTAGCACATTTAAAAAATTTTCGAAAAATTGAAAAGGAAAACCCATGGCAAAAAATTTTTCAAACAATTTTTTTTTTGAAAAATGAGGAAACTTTGTCAGATTGTAGAGAAACCTTTAAAATTGTGATTGACACTCAAACAATGCCAAAAAACTCCCATTAACCTTTTCAAAAACTCACTCCAAAAGTGAGAAATTAGTACTGAGATCACTTAAAAAGCCCATAACTCGACTTCTAGAAATTTGTGCAGAAAACCAAATACATCAAAAGAAAGCCCGTATTTGAAACTATAAATGAGCAAATTTAGAAAAAATTCTGAGATGAAGGCTAAACATGGTTCCCTTGTCAGCAAAAGAACTCGTGATTTAATCACAATTTGTCTTCATATTACTTGTAAAATGAATTTCGATCTTTGGTTGAAATAATTTAAATTATAAAACTAATTTTGACATGCAATGGTAAATACACAAGTTGAGATGTTACAGGAGGGAGATCAATAAAATGCAAAGTCCATTTTGGTTTTCTTCGTAAGTGTGTCGCTATATTCCAAATCGATTTGTCGTCGAGAGTAAACGAAAATCATGTCCATCACAAGATTAATTAAAGCCACATTGTAGACAATAGTGGCTCCGAAAAAGAAGTTTGCGTTCCCACTTGAGCTAACCATCCACATGTGCCACATGACAGGCATCAGTGCAATAGTTGTGATTATTGCGCCACCGATGAGAAGAGTGTATCGGAAGTCTGGAAATTAATTTTTTAGATTCCGATTTTTTTAGTCAGACACTAACGTTTCTTATACTCTTCGAGTAATGGCAGAATGGCCAAAACGAAGGACACTTGATTGAGTGTTGGATATGGGAAGAAGATGGAAACGAGCAGTCCGATGATAGTGAAATGAAGAACGGGGTCTCTCCGGATCATGATAGTGATTGGGATGGGCATAAAGAAGTAAAGGATTACAAATGAATTCGTGTAGAATGAACGGAAATGTTCAAAGATCTGAACGAAAAAGTACCAGTAGAGACCGACATTGGGTTGAATGCTGGTAAACTTCAATCTGGAAAAAAAAACTAAATATCGTTTAGAATTAAAAAATAAAAACTATACATTGAGGTATAGGTTGGTTCCACAAAGTTCAGACTATTTCCATTCAGAAGGAAATTAAGCGCGAAGAAGGTTGTAGCACTAAATATCGAAAGAGCCACTAGCGACAGAAATTTGAATAGCGAGCCATTTGCCCGGAAAGCGAGGCATGATATGAGGATAAACGGGAATATTGTGAATGACGACCAAGCTCCGATGAGAAGAGCACAGACTGCAGGACGATCTGAAAAATGAGACGTAGTTCCATTTTCATATATTTAATAGAAAAACCTGAAACGAGAAAGAAAAATATAGCAGCGAACACAAAGTTTTGAACCACAGTGAGAGACAGAATCCCAGTAGATATGATAGCAATGGGATTGTAGGCGTATAGACTGAACACTAGCTTCCCGATGTTCCGATCATCTCTTCCGTGAACCGATTTCCAGACTTTTTGCGCAGACTGAGCTGCTATCCACGCTGTAGAAATATCCAGAAGAATCCACAGAGGAGCCAAAAGGACTGGGGATGTCTTGAGAAGGTATCGAACTACGTAGAGAGTTAGGGGTAACTGAAAATGACAAAATATAAAGTGACAAATTCTGAATTTTAATGACAGCTCATACAAAGTGCATATTCTTGGTTTCGAATGGATCTAACCCATCGTCAAGCATTGCAATTCCGTCCTTCACGCGCTCGAACGAATATACGGTGGATGTGAACTCAACGCGTTCTTCGAAGTAATCCGAATAAGCGAAACTTGCTGCTCGAACTGCAATCGCCGCCGAAACGGAAAGCCTGGAAAATTGTTCATCTCCCCCGCAAATTTTTTAAGCTCACAATAAATTGAATGACGATGAATCGCCCTCATCTTTTCGATTTGTTTGTACTTCCTTGCTTTCAACCATGTGTGCTTCCTGAAATATTCCTCTCAATGAGAAGCAGATTTCGATTCTTGTCGACGAGGCGCCAGTGCTAGCAACGCTCATTCCCAGATGGGCTCTTCTAATTCTTCTCCCACTCCTCCTACGCCGAGGAAGAAGGTAGAAGGCAAGAAAAACGACATTTTGAATTCTTATCAGGTAATTGTGAGTTATTTTAAACCCTCAATTTGTTTTGAAGAAGCACATTAGTCAATTTTCATTCTTTAGAAGTCAATCCTCAGAAACGCATGGAGGCACATGAGTCAGAAAGGGCCATCAAACTGTGGAAGTACGATTACGAGAAGAATGATGGCTCGAAAAAGTACGATTGGGGACGTTCTCGATAGATCAACTCTTGACTATCATAATATACAGATTGTTGAGTTTTTACAAAAAGGTGAGAGAAAAGTTCACATTTAAACGATCGGGATCAAAGATGGTAGTAGTAGTAGTTTCAGTGATGCAAAGTCTAGATGAACCGGACAAAATATCAAAAATGTGTCAAGAAATCGGTCAGTTACACGCGAAATATAGGAGAAGTAAGGGAATGAAGGTGAGAACAAAGAAAACCAAGGAAAACAAAATTCAATGAATACAGATCGATTATTGGGACAAGTTAGGCGAGGCAATTACAGAGACGATTCGAGAATATCAAGGATGGAAAATCCACCGTGAGAGTCTTCGTGCAGCGACTGTTCTCGTTTCCTATGTCGTGGACCAATTAAGATTTGGTGGGAGAGAGAAAGAGAGAGAGAGAGAGAGAGAGAGAGAGAGAGAGAGAGAGAGAGAGAGAGAGAGAGAGAGAGAGAGAGAGAGAGAGAGAAAGAGAGAGAGAGAGAGAGAGAGAGAGAGAGAGAGAGAGAGAGGGAGAGAGATGTGGAAGACGGACGTATATTATGTTTATGTAATTACAGGTTATTCACGAGGATTACATGTTCAAGGATCAAGAGATACGAAAGAGGAGGAGGATGAAGAGTGATTATTCGAGCCGAGGACGCTTTCGTTCTTGACCGTCCATGAGTTCCTCTCTAAACTGTTTAATGTCGTCCTCTGTGATCAAATTTCCTTCTTCTGCTTTCTTGTTGACAAATTCTGTGAACTTTCTTTTGAACTCGTTCAATCCTAAACATGAATATTTTTAAAACTGCTTTGGATATACTTTTATGATACCTTCATAAAATACACGAGCACCGTCCATTCCCACTTCCTTCACAAGCTCTCTCATTTCTTCCCCTTCAGTTTTCTGTTCTGAAGCAACTTTCTTCCTCGCTTCGTCTTCGAAGGTGGCCATATCATCTTCATCGTCGAGCAAGAATTCACAGTCAGCCAAATCGTATACACGCGTACAACCGGAGCACTTGCACAATCTCTCGCGGAAATGCGAAACCATTATTGACATATTTGCGAGTTCTTCCGGTACAATGAGTTGTTCTAAAGTCATTTTCGAGTGACAGAATACATCTTTCCCTTCTGGAATATGAGCTACAAATGGAATTTTCTTGACGCAACCAGCACATATCTGAAATTCGGAATTTAATTGATTGAAGCTTTTAAAATAATTGTTTACCGCAGCTGCTGGTTCTTTTTCTTCAGGCTCATGCTCTGTTTCATATCTGATCGATTTGCTTGGAGTATGACTATCATGGTACCAGTCTTCACAAATTTCGCATTGATAAAGTTCGAAACCATGAGCATCATCAGGGTAGTAGGCATCACAAGTGCAGAATTTACCATGATAGTTGTGGTTGTAAACGTTGAACTCATTTTCCTTTGGCTTCTCTTCGTACAGAGTACACTTTTTCTCGGAGCCAAACTTTGGATTGCCACAGTCGCAGCGAAATTTTCGTTTTGTGTACAGCTCGACAATATCGTGTCCATCATGACAGTTCAAGGAGCATCCATAGCAAACTCCGGCCATCTGTGGTGCTGGTGTACACGTGATGCATGCGAAAACCGTCTGTCGAGGTTTGTAACCCTAAAACGGAATCAAATCTTATCGGGTACAATTGAAAAGACTCACCTCCGGGAAGGTACAAACATTAGGGTCTTGAGCGCCGAAGAGTAGATCCGCAGTCTCTTGCATTTCCTGGAGGCTTTCCAGTACTTCCTCGACAGTCACTGATTCTGTAAACGGCAAAAATAATCGTTCAAAACTAATATTATACTTACCTTTAACTTCAAGGATTTGTTCCCCATCGGCTGCAATGCTTTCAGCAAATGGAGCAACAATCTGCTCAGAAGTTGGAGATGTCATCGGCTCCGAAGTTGCGGCTGGAATCGGATCTGACTTTTTCTCTCCGTTGTTTTCCATTTCTGAAATAAATTTCAACTGGAAAGTTTAAAAAAATGAACGCTTTGCCAAGAATGTGTCAAAAAGAAAAAAAACCGAAACCATGTGAGGTCCGCATGTTGGCGGCAAAGTGTACTATTCGAATTGTACACTCTTACGCATAATTGCACAATGTTCCCAGAGGGCTGCTGCGCGCGCCAATTTCAAATCGACCTACGAGTTTCTGCTCCCTGTTTTGTGGCGCCAATAATTTAAACCTATTTTTGTCGAACCAGAAACTGTGTTTGGTGCAATTTTGAGTCATTGGCGTCGGCGGCTTCTTTTTGTGAGACATTCTGAGCTTCTTTCGTTCTCTTTCAACAGCGCTCATTCGCCGCACGCCTAGTTTGAATGGGTATTCGTTTGCATTTCGCCCCGCGTCGCCGGCGAATCTTCCTTTACTTTTAAATGCTAAGGGTTGCGAAATTCATCGGAACGATACAGAATTTGGTTGGTTCCCACACGGTCGATTTAGATTCACAGGTGCTTTGAATAGCATTATCAATGCGAATCGGAGAACGCGACAAGTAGAGACGCGAGGAAAGGGTCTTGGGTCTCACAGAGAAGAAGACAGCTGGAACATCTGCGCTGTCATTAGCTTTAATTGTTCTTTCTGTCCCCATTTGGTGAGCGGCTGTATGTGGCCACACACCATTTTCCTTAAAATGCGCTAGCAATCCTTGACTAAAATTTATCTAGGACGTGTACTTCACACATTCTTTAGCGTGGTTCCCACCTATCTTTCCACTAGCTTCTGTCGGTTGTTTCCTGTAGCTATTTAGAAGAAATCTACTAGTGCGTAGGCTGAAAAGAGGTAGGGTTGTAGATGAACTTTGTACGCTGTTAATAGATGTGGGCGGAAATCGAAAAACTGCAAAAAAAAGGGAACACTAAAAGTTTTTGGGCGGAAAGCGACGAATTTCAGTGCACCACATGATCTGCTCCAGAGCAGTTCTGAGTTTATGCGGGATTTTTGTAGCGTTGATTATATTTCAGCAAATATCTGCTCAGTGAGCCTCCCTCATTTATATCTCGTCACCTCCTTTCTTGTAACTCAGGATCTGCTGATCTAGTCAGTATTTTCATTATTTATTTGAATTTTACAGCAAATTGTATATAGCAACTGCTCTGAAGGTAATGATGACATCTCGAGCGAAAAACGATGAAATCGACCTGTTGCGGGTGAGTTTTGTATTTTAAAGTATCCCGAAAATGGTTAATTTTCAGGCCAAGACAGACTACCTCAACCCGTCGATTTCGGCTGATTGGGCGAAGAAAAAACTGATGTGGGTGCCGAGCGAGAAAGATGGATTCGCGCTGGGAGCCGTCATCGGAAACCCACACCCAGACGGTACCATTGACATCGAGTTGATGGAGACTGGCGAACGGCAACGTGTTTCTTCTGATGACTGTCAGAAGCCGAACCCTCCAAAGTACGAGAAGTGTGAGGATATGTCAATGTTGACCTGTCTCAATGAAGCATCGGTTTTGCACAATCTAAAACAACGATACTTCTCCAATCTTTACTATGTGCGTTTCATCTCAATTTTCTTTTACTATCTCATTCTGAGCCCGTATGCAAGAATGTAGGAAATCATTTCCTGAAAGTCTGAAAATTTTTTTGAGTGAGAATTTTGCAGAAAATGACTTAGAACTCTGGAAAATATTTTCTGACTAATTGGAAATCGTTTTCCATTTTCTTGCATACGGCATCCAATCCTCGTCAGGCCGGTTATCGTCATCTAGGGAACTAGATGACGCTTATCTAAGCCTAAGCATAGTTGCTGTGCACCGCACTCATTTTGCATTGCTCAGTATACTACCAACTTGTGGGGAACCGGCTCAAATGAAGAGAACGGTATTTAAACGGAATTTTTGTCTGCGGACCGCTCCTTATTTATGGGCATTCCCGGAGAAAATTGTGTGGTACCGTTCACAGGAACAGGATTTCATTTATCTTCATTTATTGGCCTTTTATCAGGCGAGGTATAAAAAACTTGCAAAGCGTTGTATCTATCTCGTGATCCCACTGGTATCATCTCAGAACAAGGACTAGAGATCGCAGCCCTCTGCGACAATTATCAATATAATCAATTAGGGAATTATAAAGATGAGGGAAAAACTAAATTTGCAAAGTGTTTTTCAGACATACTCTGGACTTTTCTGTGTCGTCATCAACCCATACAAACGCATTCCAATTTACACCGACTCAATCGCCGAGCAGTTCAAGGGGAAGAAGAGAAAAGAAATGCCACCTCACGTATTCGCCGTCACCGAAGAAGCCTATCGCAGTATGCTTCAAGAACGAGATGATCAATCTATTCTGTGCACGTATGGAAATTAAAATTGATTCTGATTCTGATAACAAACATTTTTCAGAGGAGAATCAGGAGCTGGAAAAACGGAAAACACCAAAAAGGTCATTCAGTACTTGGCATATGTAGCCAATCGGAATATGTTGAAAAACCGAAAGACTTCAACTGATTTGGATATCTCAACGAACAGAGTGATGGGACAACTCGAAGAACAGCTTCTCCAAGCAAATCCAATTCTCGAAGCTTTCGGAAACAGCAAAACGGTCAAAAACGACAACTCCAGTCGTTTCGGAAAGTTTATTCGTGTTCATTTCGACGGTACAGGATGCATTTCTGGTGCCAACATTGAGTTCTATCTTCTCGAGAAATCCCGTGTGTTGAGACAGGCGCCAAACGAGAGATCCTTCCATATTTTCTATCAATTACTGAAAGGCCTCCCGAAGTCACAAAGAGATCAATTTCTCCTGGAAGATAGCTTATCCAAGTACAAGTATTTGACGCACGGAGACAGTAAGCTGGCTGGTGTCGATGACGGAGCAGAGATGAAGGAAACACTGAATGCTATGTCAATTATGGGACTGAATGATGAGGAAATAACTGGAATTCTTCGTGTTGTTTCGGCTGTTATGTTGTTCGGAAATCTTGAATTCTCCCAAGAGAATAAAAACAACGACCAAGCAACTCTACTCAACGATGCTGTTGCTCAGAAGATTGCTGCTCTCCTCGGAGTGAATGTCACTGAATTGATGCGTGCATTCTTGAAGCCAAAAATCAAGGTTCAACGAGATATGGTTCATCGTTCACAAAGTGTTGATCAAGTCAATTTCGCTGTTGGGGCTATCGCCAAGGCTTCCTACGAAAGACTGTTCAGATGGCTTGTTCATCGTCTCAACAAATCATTGGGTTGGACTCGCCAACAATTGTCAAGGTCATCGGTTTACTCGATATGGGGTTTCGAAATTTTGAAACCCACTCATTCGAACAATGGTGCATCAATTCCACGAACGAGAACCTTCAACAGTTATTCAACAATACAATGGTCATTCGTGACCAGCAGGGAATATCTTGATGAAGGCCTTGAATGGAAATTCGTGGATTTCGGTCTAAATCTACAGCCCACGATTGATTTGATTGACAAGCCGATGGGACTCATGTCAACACTTGATGATGTTTGTCTTTTCCCACAAGGAAATGATCAATCCTTTGTTCAACGTCTCAACGACACCCATTCGCAACATCCAAAGTATGTCGTCCCTGAAATCCGTTCAAGAAGTGACTTTGCGGTTGTTCACTACGCAGGAAGAGTTGATTATCAGGCTAGTGGCTGGCGTGTGAAGAACATGGATCCTCTCAACGAAAACGTTATTGATGTACTAAAAGCGGCTAAAGAGAGTATCATTCTCGATATGTGGAAGGATATTGCAGACGTCTGCAGTCTCTCCGCTGCTGATAGTGGTTCCGATACTGGAGTCTTTGGATCAAGAATGCCCAAGAAGGGAATGTTCCGGACAGTGTCTCAACTCTATAAGGAACAACTCACTCGCCTTATGAGTACTCTCAATAACACAAATCCTCATTTTGTTCGTTGCATCATCCCTAACCATGAGAAGAAACACGGGGTTCTGAATGCTCATCTTGTTCTTGATCAGCTCAGGTGCAATGGAGTTCTTGAAGGAATTCGTATATGCCGTCAAGGATTCCCGACTCGTCTGCCATTCCATGAATTCCGTCAACGCTACGAAAAGCTTCTGGCGAACGATGTCATTCCAGCAGGATTCATGGATGGAAAAGAAGCCGTTCGTCGAATCATCCAGTTTCTTGAAGTTGACGATAACCTTTTCCGTATTGGTCAATCTAAGATTTTCTTCCGAGCTGGAGTTGTCGCAGAGTTCGAGGAAATGCGCGATCAAAAGCTTTCTGCTCTAATTGAGTCATTCCAAGCTCAGTGCCGCGGATGGCTTGGTCGACGCATCATGGTTCGTAGACGTGAACAGGAGGTAGCCATCAAGATTCTCCAGCGGAACGGACTAGCGTGGATGAGATTGAGAGAGTGGCAATGGTGGAGACTTTTGACTAAGGTTAAACCGCTCCTTGAAGTTACAAACAAGGACGAGTTAATCGCGGAGAAGGAACAAGAACTTCGAGTGACGTCTGAACGCCTGCGCCGATCAGAAGTGTTCATCGCTGATTGCAAGCAACAGATGGAGAAGATTGATGAGGAGCGTATTCTTCTGAAGACGAGACTAGATGCAGAATCTTCTGAACGAGCAGAAATGTTTGAGGAGCGATCTAGAATTGCTGCTCGCAAAATCGAGTTGGAAGGCTTGCTGGATGATGTTTCAAAACGATTGGAAGCTGAAGAGCAGAAGGCGAAGAAGGCAGAAGTGGAGACACGTAGATTGACTGAGATGGTTAAGCATCTCGAGGAAAATCTGGAAGATGAGGAGAGGAGCCGACAAAAGCTGCTGCTTGAGAAGAACTCAATTGAATCAAGACTGAAAGAGCTTGAAGCACAGGGAGTTGAACTGGAAGATTCTGGAAACAAGGTCGGAATTTGTTATTGAATATCAAAAATGTTTTATATTTTTTGTTTCAGTTGACCAAAGAAAAGAAGCTTCTGGAAGAACGATGCGAAGATCTTTCTTCTCGGCTCATTGATGAGACTGAGCGTGCAAAACAGCTGATGAAAGCGAAGACTCGATTGGAGGCGACCATTGCAGAGACAACCGATGAACTTGAAAAGAAGAATAATCTGAATCAACGCATCGAATATCCTTAAGATGCTGCATTAATTTTTAGTATATTTTATGCATTTATAAGTTAGTATTTATTTCTATTTTCAGGGAAAAGCATCTCCGTCAACAAGCTGAAAACGCTCGTCGTGCAGCTGACGTTCTTCTTCGTGAAGAACAAGAGGCTTGTCTCGAGAAAACTCGAAAGGCTGAAGAGCTGACTGCCCAACTGATGCGCAAAGAAACAGAGTTGTCTCAAATCAGCATGAAGTAAGTATTGGGTATAATTGGTAGTATACCGAATATCCTTCTTCTAGGAACGACGAAGAATTGGCCATACGTCAACAATTGGAGCGCGAGATTCGAGAAATCCGTGCTCAATGCGATGATGCTGTGGAGGAATTAAACAAGGAGAAGGCTGCTCGTCAAAAAGCTGAAAAAGCTCGCAGAGATATGGCTGAAGAGTTGGAATCTTACAAGGCAGAACTTGAAGAATCTAATGATAAGACTAACCTCCAATCTCAACTCAAAGCCAAACGAGATGAAGAGTACGCACACTTGCAGGTACGGTATCAATCTCGGAATTAAGTATCAATTCATAATTATAGAGACAACTGGAAGATACTCTGAAGACTTCAGATGAAGCAGTTGAAGAGATCAAGGCGCAAAGTCAGAAGAAGATTGAAGAACTCAATGAGACGATTGATCAGTTGAAACGTCAGAAAATTTCGGTATTTGCTTTTTGTCTTATTACCTATTTACTCACCGTGGGGAAGTAGGAGGAGGAGAAGTTCTAAGGAAGACCCGAGAGAATCTTGCGGGTCTTCATGCTCGAATTCCAACTGAATAGTCATATCTTCTTTTGCTTTCGCTTTTTTCAATGTCCGATGTTCATAATTGCTGTTGTCGCGCGCGTCGACACTGATTAGCAGTGTTTCGTCGGCACTGATTAGCAGTGTACCCCTTTTTTGTTTGATCGCGATCCCCTCCCTCACTCCGTTCACATAGTTTGGGTGTCAATTAAACCGTTTATTGATTCATTCATAATATTCGTTGCCCGGATTTACAGGCTGATAAGGCGAAGTCATCGGCTGAGTCTGAGAACGAGAACATCCGGGCCGAGTTATCGAACGTGGCATCAGCTCGTCAAGACGCTGAAAAGAAGCGGAAGACGGCTGAGGCAACTTTGATGGAGAAGGATCACAAGATGCGTGAGATGCAGTCGAACCTCGAAGATCTTATGGCCAAGTTGTCCAAGGTAAAACTGGTTCTGAGTTTACTATTTATCAAAAGTCTTTGTTTGTAGATGAACAACGAATTAGAGAACATTCAAAAAGCGAAGAGTGCAGAGGAAACTCTGAATTCAAATCTTCTCAAGAAAAACGCTTCTCTCGACATGCAACTCTCCGAACTCACGGAAGCGTCAGAGGAAGATCGACGAACTAAAGTCAACTTGAACAATAAGATCCGTCAGCTTGAAGAAGATTTGGCTATCGCCATTGAAGCAAAAGAAGACGCACTTGCTGCCCAAGAGAAGATTGATAAGGAAGCTAGAGATCTGAAACTGCAACTTGCTGAAGCTAAAAAGAAGCTGGACGAAGAAAACAGAGAAGTGATGGAAGAGATGCGTAAAAAAAAAGAAAAGGAGTTGTTGGCTGAAAAAGAACGAGCCGATAGTGCCGAACAAGCAAGAGACAAGGCCGAACGAGCGAAGAAGAAGGCTCTCCAAGAAGCTGAGGACGTGCAGAAGGAGTACAGCGATATGATGGCAGCAACTAGAGAGATGGAGAGAAAGCAGCGGAAGCATGAGCAGCAACTTACCGATGAGAAGAACAACACTTTGTTGGCTGTGCAGGAGAGAGATATGGCTCAGCAAATGATACGTGATGCGGAGACCAAGGCACTTGTGTTGTCTAATGAATTGTCTGAGAAAAAGGATTTAATTGAACTGTTGGAGAAGGACAAGAGAATGCTGAAGTTGGAGATTGATAATTTGGTAAGATCAGTTTTAGTAGCAATATTTCATAAAACTTTTTCAGGCCTCAAACAAAGATGATGCTGGAAAGAACGTTTACGAACTCGAAAAGACTAAACGACGTCTTGACGAGGAGTTAAACCGTGCTGAACAGCAAATTATCGAGTTGGAGGATGCACTTCAGATTGCCGAAGATGCTAGAAGTAGAGTCGAAGTTAACATGCAAGCTCTAAAAGCTGAGTTTGAAAGACAGTTGGCTGCCAGAGAGGAAGACGAAGAAGACCGCAAGAAAGGACTTGCCGCCAAAATCAGAAACCTCACCGAAGAACTTGAATCGGAACAAAGATCTCGTCAAAACGCTGTTGCTAACAAGAAGAAGTTCGAGTTGCAAGTCAGCGAGTTGACGGAGAAAAATGAAGCAGCATTCCGTCAAATCGAGGACCTTACTCGCCAACTCCGCAAAGCTCAGCTGAGCTGCAAGGATTTCCAGCTTGACGCATCAGAAGCTCGTGCTGCACTTGATGACGCCGTTTCAGCTCAACGAGATGCCGAGAAGCGTGCTCGTGCTTCTGAAGACGAGATAAAGAGACTCATGGCTGATGTTCAGGCAGTCACTTCTTCAAAGCGCAAGGCTGAAGCTGAACGTGATGAATTGATTGAAGAGGTTGCAACCCTGCGTGCTTCATCGTTCAGTAATGAGGAAAAGAGGCGCTTGGAAGCCAAGGTCGTCGACCTGGAAGATCAACTTGACGAGGAGGTTTCAGCTAACGAACTTGCTCAGGAGAAAGTTCGTAAAGCTCAGCAACAGTTGGAACAAATGACAGCCGATCTTGCGATGGAGAGAAGCGTTTGTGAGAGAAACGAATCCGACAGAATCGGTTTGGAAAGAGCTAATCGTGATTTGAAGCAACAGTTGCTAGATGCCGAAAGTATGTTTTTACGCTAACGTTTCTAATTATTCTTCCAAATTTCAGACACCGCTGTCGCTCGTCTCCGTACTCAAATCAATGTCGCTGAAGCAAAGGTCGCCAACCTGGAGCAACAACTTGCCGTTGAAGAGCAAGACAAAATGAGACAAGGTAGAACTTTGAGACGAATGGAAACCAAGATGGCTGAGATGCAACAAATGCTCGAAGAGGAGAGAAGACAGAGTGAGACTAACCGTCAAGCAGCAGAGCGGCAGAACACAAGAATACGTCAACTTCGTACTCAACTGGAAGATGCTGAAGCAGAGCGAGACCGTCTTGTCAAAAAGGTAAATGAGGAGCGTAGAAGAGCAGATGATGTCACTGATCTCAATGAAACACTCACAAAAGATGTTACTCTGATGAGACAGCGAGAGACAGCTGCTCGCAGAACACCTGGACTAATGAGCCATCGTGAATCCAGAAGATTCGGAAGCAATTCTAGTCTTGCTAGAGGTGAGAATTTCGAATTCTGTATGAGTAGTTCATTAAAATTAAATTCAGATGAATTTCGCGGTTCTGCTCTGACCAATGAGATGTCTCCATCAGATCGCCCAGCTTCAAGATTAACCTCTGGAACTGGTTCCCAAGTTGGTAACCTCGACGAGGATCGCGATTCTGTTCGCAACTAATTTCTCATTCCGTTTCATTCCAATGTTCCTTTTGTTTGATTGACTTACCGATTGTATTTCTCCCATACATATGTTATTAGACTATCCATTCCCCCTCTTGACCAACAATATTCCCCCTGAATTCCCTGCTTTAATATTATTCGTCGTGTTTTGTATTTTGCACAATATCACTTGTGGCTTTCTTCTTCTTCCATGCCCACCACCATCTCCTCAACTTCATAATGTATTCGTGTTTACCGCTTCCCGGTATAAGGCTTTCAAAAAAAACGGAAAGTGTCAGAAGTAATTTTAACCTCCACAAATCAATTGACACATTTCCGTTCAGATTTTAAAAATTTTATTGCTGAGTTGAAGATGTCGAATAAAATAAAATTTGTGTTTTCAACATACATTGAAAACTCAAATGTTTATTGCAACCTTTTCTGTACTCGTATTATACTAACGCTAATGAATTCCGGAATGCAACAATGAATTGATTGAAATTTCAAAATGATTGTTTTTTATCAGAAGCATAACGTATTTTAATACCTTTTTAGAGAGGGAAAGAAAGAAAAAGTTATCTGAAAGTGTGTTTCTTCGTCTGTGTTTTCCCGTAAGGTGTTTGCACAAGTGCTACGTTGTCGATTTACGAGGGATGTCCAACTAATACTAGTTTCCAGTTTTAGAATATTTGTATAAACTGAAAAGTCTTGTTTTCAATTCAAAAGTTTCAGAATGGCTCACATGAGAAGAACCAATCATGAAAAATCGCCAACGGAAGCGGAGAACTCGACGATTCTACTTAAAGAGCGGTAAAAAATAACTGTAAGCCAAGAGTTTCTTGTTAATTTTGCAGTTACGATCTTCTAAAATGGCTAACGAATGTCGAGATGCGTTCACCGAATTTTTTGATCCCTGTACAAATTGCCAACTATATAGAATCTCTTCCCATATGTAAATTAGCTGTCTCTCCGTAAGTTATCATATTCAAAAACTGAAATTTTTCATCTAGTCTCTTTTCAGAAAATGCGATCGAGTTGCTTTGATGAGTTATGCTCGTCAATTGGACATTTATCAAATCAACGGAGAAATCCTAGAACAGGAATCAAGTGTGCAAGTTCTTGAAGAAACGTCACCTGAATATTGTCTCCTTCAATTTTCTTCCTCTAGTACTCTTCTTCTTTCATCTCGAAGTACACCTCACATTGACGTGTTTGATAATATGGGCGCATATTGCTACGACATTCCATTAGAGGCTCATGAAGGCATATTCGATGTGAATAAAGCGATTTGTGGCATGCAAACTATCGCCAATCACTCGAGCTCATCAAACGATAAGTACATTGAAATTTTGTACGTATTGCAATATTGCGGAGTGTTTTCTGCATTCAAAATTGGGTGAGTAGGTGTCAATCTATTCAAAATCATCGGGAATTTTTCCAGGCGGCTCTCAAAATATACAAAAATGTGGTCAGTTCAGTTGGACATCGGACAAACTGGCTCGTTTGTAGTTCTTCCCCAATATCAACTCCTTCTAGTTTCTTCTCATCATAAAGAATCGACTTCCATGTCCCCTCCAGCTGGTCTATGTTCATTTAAAATTATGGACATGGATCCTTATATCGAACCAATCAGAATTGCAAGCCCGGAAGGTATTATTGATGACATAGAAACTGATTGTAATCGTGAAAAGAGTTCAGGAGGATTCTTCTCTCGTCTCCCATTTTCGACATCTTTCATGTCTTACCTTCCAAAAATGGGACTTTCTTTCAATTCACAACTTCTTGTATCCGTATCAACATCTGGATCATTGTATCTTTTTGAAATTCCATCCCTACGTGTCAAGTTTTCATTCAATTTCATCAGTGGACCGCGTCCTGTTGAAGCTTGTTTTGTAGATAGTGACGTAAGTTTCCTTCTTTAGGTTATCAGCATTCAGAAAATGTTTTAGGAGATTGCTGTTATCTATGACAATGGCTTCCTACTCAGATGTTCAGTAGAAGATTTAGAAGAAAGAATGTTTTCTATGAAAGTGAAGTCCAAGAAGCAGCTCGACGAAGAACCAGATGATAAGGATATCTACAGTGAACACACGGTTATGGTATCTCCTGCCCGACGAGAAATATTCTTATTAACTGCTGAAGGAGACGACTCGGTCCTTCGTGAGGCTGCCCATAAGCGCGTCCAATTGGCAGGGCAACTTTGGCTTTATACTGTTTGGAATTCGTTCAAAAAGCTGCTTGGAATGGCTATGGGGGAGCCTGCTGAGCAATTGCAAATGGCTACCCATATGGCTAAGTTCGAGTTTGCTTTAATTCATTCACCAACAAGAACACTTCAGGAGCTTTTTAATAGAACTGTGAGTCATCTAGATCCTATAACGCCAACTTCTCGAAAATTTCAGATAATTGAGCATGACTACACCCGAGCTAGAGAACTTGCTGAAACCTATGACACAATTGATATTGACGTGGTTCTCAAGTCGGAATGGAAGGACAAGTGTTCGAAGAACAAGGTTACGGTAGGAGACGTTGAAGAAATCTTGAAACGGATTGGAGACTCGGAGTGGATTGCGGAACAGTGTGCTAACGCGGATTCAGATGACTTTGAAGTGCATGAAGCTCTGATTGATCTGGGATTGTCGCTTGGAGAATATAGTGTTACTTGGAAAATCCGGCTGTTACATCACTGGAGAATTCTGAAAGTGTGTAGAATCAAAGGAGACGTGGATGCATATATGATTGCGAGAAAAGGGAGCTGTCTGGATGCTGCACTTTCGTTTGCTCAGGTAAATCAGATGGAACGTAAGAAAATTAGCATTTTAATTGTATTTTTCAGAGCGGCGATATCGATTCATTGTTTCAAATTATTCAATTCAACATGGATATTATGAAGCATTACCAGAAACGGATTCTGTCAAGCGTTCCTTCATGTACTTCCCCCACCAAATATGAAATGTTGATGCCTAGATTAGACGATGACGGAGAAGAAGAAGAACAGTGGGAATTGAAAGAAAAACACGATCACGATTTGATAAACGAGAGATTGAATCAGATTCTGGTGGAGCATCCAGATGCAGAATCGCTCATTCGAAATATCAATGTTGGCAATGTCGAAGATGAACCGGAGTTTGATTTTGTCGCTTGGGTCAGAGATAGTCTTTTGAAGATTGATTTCGAATGTGGACTGACGGATGTTTGTGTAGAGCTTCTCCAAATAGCGATCGAAAGAGGATATAGAGATGTATTTCACGACATGGGAACATGGAAACGATATGCTCAATACGTTCGGATATGCTCCTCAGTTAGTGAGACATCACTTCATTTCAAGACTCAACTGTGAAATCATTCATTGATCGATTTTCAAGACTTTTGGAATCAGAGCTAATTAGTTATGCAGAAGAAATCATAGGATTGATCGAGTGGAAAGTTAACAGAACAAAAGACAAGGATCGAACTATTGAGGAAAGGATAAGAGATGCTGTCACAATTCTGATGAGAACTGCCAATGAGAAAAGTACAAAAGTATTGGTTGCATACAGAAACAAACGACCTGATGTGGTTGACGATCATGTGATTCTCGAGGTTCTTCTCAATATGACAGCTACTGGTACTGAATTGATGGGATCTCTACAATCTCTTCCAGTTGACAAGTATTCCAATGTCACTTCCTCTTTGGCGTCGTTGATGTCCAGAGGGGTCAAAATGACGTTCAAGTCGATTTTTGAAAGCATGAAAGAGCCGGACGGAGCAAGAAGAGTTGTTATCAAGTTATCCAGATCTGGAAATTGCTCTACTCTGGAAGAATGGACCTGTTTGCGAGATGATATTTATGATATGGCTAATGGGTTAGTACACCTCTCTGAAATATACAGTAACTTAATTTGTTTCGTTTCAGAATCTATAGAGACTTGGTGACAACAGAAGAAGCCCTCGAACTTGTGGCTGGAGAAATTCTGGAAGACGAACGGATAGGTAGTCATCCGGAACTAATTCATCTCGTTTTAACCATGAATCCAAAAGAAGAACGTCAAAACCCAAAGAAGCTAAGTATCGCTAGAAGTGCAGAGGTGTTGCTTGCGAAAAGTGATGAATTGATGTCGGAAGCAACACAAAGAACTGATCCTCTCCTTGGAAAAGCTCGATTCTTTGCGGCTACTGCTAGAGCTATCTCTCCAAAAAAAGCAAAAGAGAAGCTCGACTGGTTGGATGCAATCGATGCCGCTCTGGAATTGGGATGTACGATGATGCCGATTGCTATCAAAATGTCGGATCATGACACTCTCCTCCGGGATGTTGTTAGCCTCGGATCCAACTATAAACAAGGGAAGAAAGTGCTGAGCTTCGCGAAGCAGTTGAACATTGATACCCCAATCGCCACGGCATTATCCTATTGTGCACTCGCTGCTCTCAAATCCAACGACGCTGTCTACTTAAGCAAGTATATTGGAGAAGTGATGAAGGCAAAAGGCGTTCCTGTCGTTCATCAACTCTGTATGCAAATAATGGAATCACCACATGTTCCCACAGATATGGAGGATGTTTATTCGTGTGCTATTAATAATTCGAATGATGAGAATCTTCTGGAAACAGTCGACGCGATTGCTTCGAGCGAGAAGCGGTTGAGTGAAAGCAAGCGAGTGAGAGAAATTCGAATAGAAGATGTTCCAGTTTCGGAGAACATTGTTGGAGATCCAATGTACACTCCTTTGCGTCTTTATAACTCAAGGAAAGAGATTAGCGGAGATGTTAAACAAAAGTTGACATTCTTTGAAAACCATGGTAAACGAGAAGGTTTTGATTTCCTGAAACGGCTATATGCTCATGAATCATCGACGTTGGCGTTGTGCTATTCGCTATTCCATCCTGCTGAAAACTCGGATACTGGAGAGCTCAGTTGGACTAAAAATGACAAGTTGAGAAGATATGAAAAAGGCCTCCGATTCTTCCAAGATCGTGTCCCACTATCCGTTCTTGTTACCGCACCTGCGTCCTCCATAATAAAAGAAGCTAACCGAGGAGATGTTTCTATAACTGCTATCGATCGAATCGAGGATTACGGTATGTTAGATTTCTTGGTGCTATTTATAGCAATCCTCGTAATTTTCAGGATGTGATAAGAGTCGATTCGTTGGAGATGCTGAATATCGTACAGTAACTATCATAGGTCTTGCTGAAACTGAAAACGAACAAAGGTTTGCTGACGCGTTGGAACTTGCATCAAAGTATGGAATCGATGAGTGGCAGTTACACATGGCATCGTTGGAATATCTTTTGGATCCTACCAATAATGTATCCAGAAATGATGTGAAAACTATCATGAAAAGTCGAAAGCATCTATCAAATTTACGAAGCAAACCTGATGAATTTCATAAAAGACTCCGTGATGTGGTTTTTCCGACTTTGGTGACAAATGAGCAATTCTTGGCGTACACCTCGTTGTTCGCAGATACAGAACCCGAGAAAAAAGTAGCTGACACGATAAAACAGATTGTTGTGAAAATCAAAGAAGCACAGGCGGTTCAAATGTGGAGAGATGATGAGTACCTCTATTCGATTCTCAAGAAGATTCCCGATTCAGCGCTTTGCTCAATCGCCAAAAATATTCTTCAAATTCCTGAAGTCGGAGTGAAAGCATGTGAACAGTATGCAGAGTTTATATTGGATGGGGATGAGCTGAGACCACCAGCAAATCCATTCATTGTTTTCGTGTTGATGAGAGAGAATGTTGAAGATTTCCTCGAATTGATTTCCAATAAAAAATCGGTACGGTTCCAACTATTTACAGTACTTCTAAATTGCATTTTTCCAGAGAGATGAAGAAATAGGATATCTTCAAAGTGCAACTCTCATTCTTGAAATCACTCCAAAAGTTCCGGATAACCTCAAAGATGCGGTTCGAACGAGAGCTGAAGGCATGCGCCGGGCTACAGTAACCCCTGAAACGACTGCTTCGTCGAATGGATCCGGTTCGTTCTTCTCGAATCCGGAAGATAACACGGGAATGATGAAGAGAAGAAGGAATTAATTCAATTTGTATTCCATATTTATAGTTGAAGATTAATTGACAACTGGTGTACCAATCATGGTGTTCTATCTGGTCCTTTTTCTTGTTCATTGCTGGTGTATATTATTTATTGCATATTTTCTCTTTTTGTTTTGTATTTTTCTGATTTTATTATGAATAAAATATAGTATCTTATCGGGTGTCCATACTACAGGAAATAGTTTTGTTCAATATCATGGTACCAAGTTATTTTAAAAGTGCGTATTTAATTCACCCAATCAGAAATGCACTGCAGAAATGAAAAAGGGCGGGGCAAGACTTCAACGGAAGGATAGTGACGAATGGCTTTGCTCATCCACATATCAACCGAATCGAGATGAAATATTACAGAAGTCGGAGGAAAAGAAGACACGAAAAAAGAAAAGATTAAAAATAGCTGTAGTCGTGCCTATGAAAACTTCTGTGACGCCAAAATCTGAAGTACGGCATAGGAGGAGATTTGAGTCCCCACCAAAGGATAACGAAATCGTTACGATTGATGAGGGTGACGACGCTGACATTCTGAATTTTGTTTCCACCTCCAAAGCTAATCCATCACTAAGAACACCCACTTCCAGTATGGCTAACATTAAAATCGTTTCGCCGATGATACCGAAATCAGGTTAGACGAATTTCAGTGTTACTTTTTTCAGTGTTACACTTTGCCCAATTTTAGTATCATCCATACGAAGTTCGTGCTCACCGCCCATTCTACAAATTCGTCAAAGTCCTGAACAACTTTTCGCTGCTCTCACACCAAAACGACGGACGTCTTTCGAAGTTGCACAGCCGGCGAAGCGGAGAAAAGAAGAGCAAGATCCGTTCGAAGACGTCGAAAATTATGTGGGAAACGACAGTGAATCAGACCAGGATTCCGACATTTCGAATGTGTTTGAGACACTTTCACCAATTAAAACTCAGTTTGCCGACTCACTACCAAAGTTCTCATTAGATTTTATTACTGGATATGAAGCACAGTTTACCGCATTCGAAGATACACAACCACCGATTGAAAATGATAAAAATGACATTAAAAATTCACCTGACCTATTCGATGATTTAGAAGATCCCATGAGTATTTATGAAGAGTCTGAAGCTAGAGAAATAGAATGCTCTCCCATGAATATTGAGGCTTCCCCAGAAAAACCACGGAAGGTGACATTCAAGTTTTTTGACTCGGAAGAAGTGAAGGCAGTGAAAAAGGGGATTGGATTCGTAGAGCCTGAATCATTGTGGAGGAAAGAAAACTTTATTGAAGAGAGTTGTGCACAGCTACAGAGTAGTGTCTATCGAGAGTATGCAATTGATGCGGAGACCTGTGGAATGTCGATGGCAGAATCAAGTGATCTTCCTGATGAGACAACTCAAGTATGGTTTCAAACCCTTTGTAATTTACAATAATCCTTTTTTTTTTGAAGAAATATCTGACTGCTCAATCATGTTCCCTGTTGTCAAACTCGCTGGTATCTGATAGTCAAGACGAGGAAATGTACGATCGAGACGAGTTGTTCGGACTTTCAGGTAACCTCAAATACATCCGATTGTTCTCTCTTCCTCCTCCTCACCACAAAAGCAATATCAGAAGAGTTTTGGTTTATTTTTTTTTCTTTGCCCAGTTTTGGTGGTGGTTACTGTGACTCACAATTCATACGTTATTATTTGGGCCATTGTTGGTATACACAACGAAAAAGGGGCTCTAAGTCAGTCAAGAAAACGAGAAGAGAAGAAAAATGAGAAAAAGAAGCATCAAACTTTTTCGAGGGGAGGAAGAAGTACAGAGACAACAAATTCACAAGATATGTAGTTAATTTTCAGCGCGCCTTGCCTCGTTGATGTCAAGCAAAACTAGTGAAAGACGTCTTCTGATGAGTGATGTGGTTTTTGGCACGGTGCCAAAAGAGAAGTTGATCAAGCTGGAGTTGAGCAAAGTTCAAAGGTATTCTAATTTCGTCGGAGATTTTGTTAAGATAAGATATTCTGATGCAATCTAGATATTCACTCTCTTCACTTGACATAGACAAAAACGTGCAAAAACTTTCAAATGAGTTGCGCAAGATGTTGCGATGTGAAGTCGCTGCGAGACCACCTGTAAATATGGGTTACTGTAGGTAATAGATTACTGTAATCAAAATTATTTGTTTTTCTCAACTAAATTTTATTTTTCATCCATTTTTCAACTTTGGAGTTAGAAAATTGTTTTTTTCAATCGAAATGTGTTTCCGGAAATTTCCTATCACTCTTTTAGTCCGCTTATTTCACTTTTACTCATCAAAGCCGTTCGTTTCCAGTTTTAATGCCAGACAAAGGAACACAAACTTATTTGTTGTTTTGTTTTTTAGATTCTTCAACGACATAAGCTTTAATTTCAAATGCACAGACATACTTTAACCCTCTCTCACCTGTCTGACTGTTATTTGTTGACATTACGCTTCTTCCCGTTTCTCCTGTTTTTATGATGGTAAAACTGACCTTTAAGGGGTTTTTTCTTCCATTTTTCCTTTCCACTTCCATTCTTCCCCAATCGAATTAAATAGTGTGTTATATATCGAAAAGAAAGTGATATGCAAATGACTCCTACAACGAGGAGGAAACATCACCGCGGGATACCAGCCAACACACTATTTTATGCTTTCGTTTTCTAATGTTAAAAAAAAGAAACTTCGCAAAAAATAACTAGCGACATGTGTGCCCTTTTAGTTGATTTCTTGTTTTTCCCGTTGAATTTGAAGAAAACCAAAATCTTAAGAACGTCTTGCTAGTGCCCGGCGGATCCCATGAAATTGCTTGGTATAGGGATGGTGGTGTCAGATTTCAACGTGGTTTCTTCTTGTGCGCGAAAGAGAAAGTCTCTCTTGCCAAATATACAAATAGTAATAGTGAGAGAGAATGAAAACGTAATACAGCTCTAGGAGAGTAAGGCCAGGCGGGACCTTCCCTACCACTAATTCTCTAACATTTTGGGAGTGGTTGATTTCGTAAATATCCAAGAGATGTATATATTTACCGCCCGTTTGTTTCCGTTAATGTTTATTCATGCCGCCTGGTGGTTTTCTATCCCCGAACACTTTTTTGTGTTGCCCTTGCTCATCGGCAACATGCAAAAATGTGTTTCGAGGCGTCGGTGGCGACGAAACAAATGAAATTATGTGTACTGAACGGGCTCTGGGGCGGAGGAGAGAAAAATGAGAAACGAGCATATATCTCGGTGGTTTTGGTTTTTGAAGTTTTCTTTTTTTTTTAGAAAATTCGAAAAAGCACTAAAAACAGGAAAACCAAACTTCCTGCCAAATATAGACTTTATTGGCTTTTCAAAATTAGTTCCGAGATTATTCGGAAGCTTATATGAAATTCTTGGTTCCCTGATTTTTGGAGAACATCTAGAGGCACTTTCTCCTCCGAACAACAGATTAAAGTATTTCATATTTCCTATTGTCATAACAAAACCACCAAGAAACATCATTTCAGTTTCGTGACTCAGCTTTTTTCTTGTCAGAAGCAACGCTATCATTTGAATCATTCCTCCTACGCTATTACTTCTCTTGTCTCCACATACATTATCCCACACAGGCACACACACACAAAAAACATCTTCATAATTTCAGCGCCTTTGGCATGACAATTCTGGACACCAGTACATCATTACGGATCATCAATCGAAGCTCAGCAATCCGTCGTCTCGCCAGCACCACAGCCGTCCCCTGTTCCTCTCTTTCTCCCGCCCTTGTTTGTGACCCCGCCCCTCAATTCCATCTTCCTCCTGCGGCAACATCAACCATCTCCCTCTTGTCCTCATCGCTCCCACCTCCTACTTTGGCGTCTATTTCTACAATCTTTTCGATTGGAGCATTGTCGTCGTCTTCTGACTCGGTGACGACGACGACGATCGAGGACTGTCTCAAGGGCAGTATTCAAGTGCTGATCAACCCGCCGTTGGTCATCGAAGGCGCTCTCTAATGCGCATTCATACCATTTTCGTTCTCATCTCCTTTCTACCAGTTCTCGCGTTTTCTGCCCCAGCAAAAATCAGGTATGTAACATTATCGTTTTTTACCCTTTAGTTTTTTGAAAAATAAATATTCCTATAACTTGAAGTTCACATCTAAAACCTAATAACGAAGGGAAATCAGAGTCTTTGCTTCTTCCTACACTTCCTTCCGTTCATCTTGCAGCTTCTCCTTTTAAGTTTGAAACTCTTTTTCTTTCTCTTCTAGTCTATTCCTAGCTCATAAAGAGTATGCCGCCCTCTCTTAAAAAACTTTATGTACGCCCTACATGCTCCTTATCACACAACTAAACAATGCTGAGATTCTCGACAACCGTCTTATGTCAGAAACTGTTAGGAATCTCTTTAATCATTCGCAACATTTTCTTTTTCTTCTAGCCGTTCGCATGTAGCAGTTCTTATCAGTTTCGTTTCACTTTCTATAAAACCACCGGCGCCATTGCCTATGATATCAAATTCATTTTTTGCACAAAATTTCAAGTAGACCTTTATATTCTCTCAACAAAACCATGCGCGAAGTGCGCGCGACAACGCGGAACGTTGAAAATGAATCAAGACGGATGAGATATATCGCGTAACGGCGTCTGAACGGACACCTTTACAATCTAGACGAGGTGTCGCGAGTTGACGAAAATGAGAAAGACGCCTATGGGCGAAGGTCTAGAAGGAGATGTTGTGAAACTAATCTGAAGGTCATTTCGGCTTTAAGACAGAACATTTGACGTTTTCAATGGGTTTTGTCTGCTAATTTGAACTGGACCTTCAAATTTTTGAACGGAAAGTTTCCGTCTGAAACTTCACTATAAAAATTTTGAAACGAAGTAGTCTTTTGAAACAAAGTAGTCTTACAGATTTTTTAAAATGAGTCATCTTGAGAACTTTGAAATCTATATGAATGTTCATCTATTCAGAGTTATTTTTAAATAGTGTTTGCCCTCCCGCGCTTTAGAAATTGTGCATCATCATTATTATAATTGGACGGTTCTCTGGGTCAAAAATATTGAAATCCAAGCTTTTGCGCGTTCTCAGTCTCCTCCGATGACCCACTACCTACCCGTCGCCCCTGTTTGACATTTCGGCTAAGCTTTTCATGCGTTCCGGTGAGTTTCTCATTGGGCTCCCGAGCACATCAGTTCTTCTTCTTCTTCCTCCCAGGCGGGATTCTTTCTCTAAAAACAAACAGAACAGATAGGAAGATGGACACCAAAAAGGCCTCCGTCTGGTACCATTCCGCGCCAAACAGTTAGTCCATTTGTTAACACATGGCCCATTGATCAGAGATAGTTTCTTCTCCCTTTCAAACATCTGTTGATTTCCTTCCGAAGAAGTTAGAATGTTTATGTTGGGGAAAATACAAACGAAGTCGTCTATTCTTTCAGCTGCCAATGCAACAGAGCCTACGCAGGAATACCGTGTCACAAAGATTGGTGTCAAGTGTACAGTAATGCGACTCATGTGAGTTTGGAAATCCTTTTTGTTTTCGTGATCACTTCAGCGTGTGAATCAGTCAGTGTTCGGCGGGATGAGCACTATTTGCCATTTCACCTTGCGATCAGAAGCTCAATCACTTGTCTATGGGAAATTGAGATTCCGAGGGTCTGGGAAATCATAAAGATGAATATTCCTTTTGAATATTGTTCAGGAGTTCAAAACTACCGTAATCCTTTACGACCTGTTTTTCGTTCTTGTCCCGTAAACAATTTTTCGTCTAATGAAAAGTTCCATAAAAACTTTTGTAACGATCTGTACCAGGCTCTTCCAATTACTCGGGAATATAACTGCTCAATAACCATTTAAATTCTAAGTATTATGGGTCATGTGATTTTCAATCCGTTGAGAACATTGAATTTAATTTCCTGGCACGAGACCCGGTGCAGCTGTATGGTACCACCACAGTACAACTATCCAGGTGTCAATTTTATAGCCCAGACAGATATAGACCGATCTATTCAATCCCATCGAAAGAGCAACCAAGAAAAAAAAGAAAAGTGTCTCTTTTTTGTTTCTTGTGTGTACTGACGAAAAGTGCGCGAAAAGCAGCTGGGCGCTGTGCACTTTTCGGTTTTTTTTTCTTATATGATTTTCCCTCATCATCACCCGAAAAGATGAAAAGAGAAAAGAACACTGCAAACAGATCTTGAGAGATAGAAAAACGAAAGAATAAAGTTACGCAACTAGACTGAACTATATAGAAAAATGGGTTCGATGACTACTTTCAATTTCAGATAGCTGCTTGTGCCGTCGTGAAGAAGAATGATCTGCAGACATTTGCATGTGCAATGGTTAATGTACGGGCTGATCAAGGAGTTTGTCAATTTGATGCAAAGCGAGATGTTGTAAGTTGGAACAAAAAACCCACAGTAATCCAAAAAGATACGCATTGTTTCGAAGAAGCGAAGCTCCATAAAATTCGAGACTTACAGCCTAAACCAAATCGATTTCCTGCAATTATCTAGTAGAAACTCTAGTTTTGAGACGCTCAGCGTATATTCAACATAACTACCGTATTTCCTCTAGTAGAAACCCACCCAATGCGTCAACTTTGACCCCAATTATCTCAATTTTCGTCAAAGATATCAAAACCTTGTCAACCGACAAATATTGGTGATAATACGCTGAAGAGTTTATCAGTTGACATACTTTTGATATCTTTCGCGGGAATCGAGGTAATTGAGCTGAAAGTGAACGTATTCGGTAGGCTCCTATACAGAAAATGAGATAAACTGTCTAAAAACAGTTTTCTAATCTTACCATCCAATTTATACAATTATAAACATTAACCATCGAGAAGGCGTCTCTGGTTACTTCCACACCATTTCGTACTACAATGCCCATATTTAACAGCGTAGCAATTAGCAGGTGCTTGGTGAATAGTCAACCTTCAGTTCACCCCCAAATACATAATATTTGCACATATTTCGGTATGGTATCAAATGTTGGTGTAACATGCATACACACACCTTTCGCACCCATCTATGTACATTTGTGTGACCAGAGACAGACAGCTGACTCTTGACTCTCTCTTTATGATTTATTGTTATTGCAGACGAAGTGTTGGTGCACCAAGGGCGACTACTGCAATATAGATCTAGTCGATCGGATACGTGATAAGCGTGATGATGAAGAAGATGATTACGATGATTTTACAGTTGAAGCTAACACAGAATTCAATGAAAATGACAACAGCATCGGAGAGGATGAAGAGGACGATAGCCAAGATTTGCGTGCACCCGCAACAAGTACTGTAGCCGAGAGAATAGACGCGGTGGATATGAGAAAGCCCGTTGAGCCGAAACAAAATAATCCAGAAGAGGCGTAAGTTTTTTTTTCTAGGGTCTGAGAATTACAGTAACCTTTGTAGGGCCCTTCCTCCATGGCGTCGCATGAACCCTCTGAACGCCAATGACCCTTGGAAGCCACCTCCACCACCACCGATGCCTGGAAGACAGCCGATCCTCCCTCCGACAACCACTTCCACTACTACAACAACTACCACAACAGCTCCACCAACCACTACAACCACCTTGAGTTATGAAGAAAGAATGAGGATTTATGAAGAGAGACGACGTGAAATTGAGCAGCAACGAGAGGCAGAACTGAAACGACGGGCTGAATTGGAAAGACAACGGTTGGAGGAGAGGAGACGCTTGGAATCTCAACATGAATCCAGAAGAAAGTTCGGTGAGGAGTCTCAAAGTTGGCGAGCTGCTCCTGAAGTTCCAATAACTACCACAACCACCACTACACGGACAACTCCATCAACTACTTCAACCACAACGACTACAACAACTACCACAACTACAACTACAGCTCCACCAACCACAACAACTACTACAACTCATCGGCCAACCACAACTACTACCTCAAGAGCTGCTTCTGTCGTTGAACAGACTGAGAAGAAGAGCTACGAGTCGTACTACAGAAATTGGAAACCGCATCGTAGACCATTGGACTTGAATCCAACTCAGGTTTCTATTGAATCGGTTAGCGCAATCGTATATCCACCGAAGAACTTTGTGAAGGCTACCAAATCGTCGTCTTCAAGTACTACCACGACTCTCGCCCCAACAACTACAACTCAAGAAAATACAACAACTTCCATGGCAATCATCTATCCGCCTGCAAACTTTAGAAAAGCAACTAAAGGATCGTCCACAACAACAAATACAACCGCTACTACTACGACTAGTACTCCAATGACTAGAACAATTGAGTTAGCATTCACTTTATCGAGATCTGATGATGAGGATGATGACGTTGAGTTGCCGTATAAGATGCCAAGGAAAATGGCGAAGGTGAGTATAGAACAGACATCTTTTTTATTTTTTATCTGTTTTAGTCAAATAGATCCAGATTCATAATTGAGAGATCGTAAAACTTGTAATAGAAAGTTGAGAAGCTCAGAATTTAATCTGAAAATCTTGAAATACATACGATTTAACTTTCAGAAAAGACCGATCGTTGACTTTCTAATTTTGCCCTGAAATTAGTCAAAAACGTTCGAAATTTAGTCCAAAATGGGCTGCAACTTTTAGCTTAAAAACCATATAACAAGTAGTGATTTTCAAAAGTTTTAATTTTGGGAAAAATATTCAGAAAGTGTTAATATTTCTGTTATATTTGTTGAAAAAACACGTTGCTCCCAAAAACTTTCCATCTTTTGGGAGATTCAAAAGATTCACGTGGCTCACGAAAATTTCTGAAATTTCAGTACTTTGATGTGAAAATTAAAACTTTTGAAATTCACTTCTTGTTATATCACAACCTCAATTCTCACAATGTCAGGAAGAACTTTTAATTTTCCAGGTCCCCGAAGAAGACGTGAAAGAAGTCGTGATGTATACACCTCGATCTCGTGCCGAAGCTCGCCCTCTCCCGACACCATCTGTCCGGACCCCCGCGGAGAAAATGAACGAGTACAAGAAGCTTCTCGACGAGCCATCCGCCTCCTCGATTATCCTCCCATCCTTTATCTCAATTATCATCTTATGGTTCTTGTTGTAACCGGTCTTTATTTTCATTCTCGTTCCCACCAAAGCACCCCTATGCACCCCATTTTCAATTTTATCATCTTTCTAGATTTAATAATGTTGTTCTGTTTGTTTTTCCTTCTGTTTTCTAATTTTTGTGATAATCTAGTCCCCAGTTCCCATCCAAACCCCAAAATTTCCCATCCAGATTCTGTTTGAGCCCAATGATAAAAAATCCTGTCTTTTTTCAAAAACCATAATAGTAATCTAGAAATCCCTGTTCTGTCTAATTACCAGTAACCCTTTCTTACCAATTTCTTTTTCTTCTCCTCCCACCAAAAAACCCCTCACGTTAACGGGTTTCAATCTTCTTTCTCTCTCTCTCTCTCTCTCTCTCTCTCTCTCTCTCTCTCTCTCTCTCTCTCTCTCTCTCTCTCTCTCTCTCTCTCTCTCTCTCTTTCGTTTTTCTGCCCATTTTTACAATGCCTCCGGAAAATTGTTCATATTCATATAAATAGATTTTGCTCATTTCCCTCTTTCTTCTGGAAATCGTATTAGGTAGTAGGGTGGTGCAATTAGGTGTTGAGGAGGATCTGGCTCGAGTGGTGGCGCCAATGAAGGGCGCCCACTTGAGCCAGAATTCAGAAAGCAGAAGATCTCATAATCGAGTTGAGTTGTTGGGGATACGGTAGATCCCACAATGCACAAAGGAAAATATATTATTCGTCTGAAAAAATTAGGAGCACAAGGAGAGTAACGAGGTTATGATGGAAGGTAGGATTACGATAGAAAAAAAATATTCGGTGATGAAAACGATAACTGTAGGAATGAAACATTTGAACATGAAAAGGATTACTGTAAGAAAAAATAATCGAAAAATAAAAGGTTAACTGTTGAGAAGAAAAAAGAAAATTGGAAGGATTACTGTAGAGAAAATAATTGGGAAATGAAAAGGATTACTGTAGGAGAAAAGTTTTAAATATTTAATTTACTTTGAAAAGTTTTAAAAAAGTCAATGAAAACGAAAAATATTATTTTTAAAAAGTATGATACATATTACCTAATTACTGTAATGAGGGACTTTCAAATTCTGTTGCTGTAGGGAAAACGTTTGGAAAAAAAGTATTTTGGCCTTGAGCTCTGGAGTTTTCCATCCTTCTAGAAGTTCCATGCGAAATAATAACCTGAAACTTTTTCATGAAATTACAATTATCTTCAAAATTATCAGGAAAATAATCGAACTCAACTACCTCGGAATTCGAAACCAACCGTGTTGATCTTCGACTCAATCCCCTGAAACTTTCAAACCTGTTCAATACCCGCAATACTTTGAACTATTTCAAAAATCTGCTAAGCTCGAAAATGAGTCCTCGGAGACCCGGAAAAAGCGCATGGATCCCACACCACACAAATTGGGTGCTAATCGAGAAGTAGTAGTCGTTTCAAATAGTCATCCCGACCCATTTAACGCACCAATCCGGCAATATGATAAATGCACATTGGTTATCGGGTAACCATCTCGACACATTGGAACGGGCGCCCCCTGTGAGAATCCCTCTTTCTCAGTTTTTACGAGCCGAGAAGTAGAGCATCTGCTCCGCTGGCTCCCCTCTTGGCTCCACTCCTCAAGACTACCGTAGTCTCCGCCCCGTTGACTTCTTCTTCCAATTGGCGGGTGCGTGCTCCTTCAAAACGAGCTTCTATCTCTTGAATCCATCTGCCCAACCCCCCTCACGGGCACAATTCGTCTTCGAGGAGACCATCGGCACATCCGTATATCGCAACATTTCGAGTCAGAAACTCCCAGCTGATTCTGTTGAGATATGATGCTTCCGATTCCGAATTTCCCGTGGTTGGCTGCTGCTGCCGCGGCTGCGACCATGGGATCGTTTCCTTGGAGACCACCATTCTTGGATAGTAATGGATGGCATCAGGTGTTGGCTGCGAGTATGAAGAAAGAGGTGGGTTGAAGTCTGAGTGTGAATTGCTAAGGTAGTTCAGACATAAGAAGAATTCTTTCTGAAATTGAGTAACTAGGTTTTCGAAATGTATTTCTACCTGAATTTGTTAGATTCAAGATTACTGAAAAATTATGATATTGTGTCTTATATGATCTGCTTCTTTGGCCATCTTCCATTTCCTTTCAACCAATCCAAAATTAATCATCCCGAGTCTGTCCCAATCGGCACAGTTGACTTCTAGGATCTTCAAAAATGTTAAACCTTGTTAAGAATTAGAACTCGAATTTACGGCATTGTTAAGGTAACATTAGAATGAGATAAGAATAATATGAATTAATGGTTGTTCGGATGCAGGAGAGTGGAAAATCATTTTTCCAAAAGTCTGAACATTTTTGAAATGAGTCGATGAACATATGAGCTGGAGATGCCTATTAGAGGACTTTCAAAATTCCAGAATGTTGACTACTAGATTTAGGGAAACGGTTGTTCACTTTGTTCTATTTGATTCTATCCGAACAGACTCCAAAACTGACTAATATACGGTATATTATATATCTGAATATTTGGAATACTTCTTTTCTGAAAAAAACCCATATTGAAAAATCCTTTCCTTTTATTAAGAAAATTATAAAGCCTATAATTTTTGAATTGGCTTGAATTTCGAACCGACCTTTCAAACGCGGGAGTCACATTTCTTTGACATAAATACAGGGTGGTGCATAATTCCCCGGTCTAAAGGTTGTACTGGCATAACATTTGAGTAAAACGTTGAACTAGGCTCAAATTTGCAAATTCATCAGTAAACCGGCCAAGTTTCGAATAATTTTATCAACTTTGAGCTGAGTTATTGCATGGCAAAGTTGCTTCATCTCACGAAAATCACAACGCCGTGCAAGAAACATTATGCCATTTTTCTTTGGACAATCTCAACAACACCTAGAATTGAGGAATCGCTTTGAAAATTTCAGTAGGTTTGAATCAAAAGCAAAATCCCACCATTTTTAGTGCTTTCGAAATGCTTATGTCTAAAGACACATGTAGCCATTTTTAACAGTCCGGTAATTGTGCACCATCCTGTATTTAGTCAAACTGGAGGTTCAAAATTTCCCAGGTGGACCCATGAAATCATATTTTAGATTCAGAGAAAACTCATAACGTTTTGAAATTCAAGCTTTCTGTTTTTGGCTGGTTTTGCTAAATACCATACTGTTTTTATGGTTTTAGTAGGTTAAAATTCGGTCGTTCTAAATTTTAAAGAATCTTTTCTCTATCTGTTCATCTTCCTATTCTTGCCTACTAAACCCCATCGAACTTTTTTATATCGCCTCCTGATGACTTCCGAAAATACTCTTTGCTCCTGCCAACTTTATAGATTTCGTTTTTTTTTTCAACCTCCCGAAAAATATATAATTCATTTGCGGAGAGCCGCAAGATCCATCGTTAAATGTTAATAAAACCTCTCGTGGTGGTGCCTCTCTAAATCGACGCCTTCGCATTTTGGCGCGAGGGAGGGGACGAATAATTTCGACGAGATAATGATCATAAAATGATGAGAAGAGGATGAGGGAGGAGGCTTTCCCCCTGTCGGTGCCTTTTCACAGATCCTTGTGGCTCTCAGCAGGAGGTAAAAGCACATGTTCCCCTGTCGGATTTGATCCGTGTCATTATTCGAAAACCTGTCATTTTCTTTGTTTTTCCAAAAAGAGACCGAAATTTCAATAATTGTTTGTGTCTGCTTCATGATTCATGTGACACCTCAAAAAGAGCTACAGTAATCTCAATTTCAGGTTCACGAAGCGACATCCGGCTCAATGCCAGACCCGAGTCAAGATGTGACGGATTGTGTTGTGTGTGGGGATAAATCAAGTGGAAAACATTACGGACAATTCAGTTGTGAGGGATGCAAGAGTTTCTTTAAAAGGTATACAGAAGACACGAGTTCACTAAGGTTTTTTTAGCTTTTTGAGGGTGATCGAGAGCCAAATGAAGAGCCCAATGTTGGCAAAGCAGAGGAAGATAAGGGCTCCGGTTAGACCTCCGTAGACTGTCACGAATCCTTTTCTGAAAAAATTTAGATTCAGAAGTTTTAGTAGATTTTAGAAATTTTTTTGTTTCTTCAACATCAACTTACACTCTCTTTTCAACCAGAGCCATATGAGTTCTATTTACGGGTCCTGCTGTTGTATTACCGGCTTTCTTAGTAGGTTGAGTTGGAGGAGCAGCTCTTTTATTGCGCGAAAATCTGAAATATTTCTTCAAAATCAAAATCTTTTTTTGAGACAACTCACACTCCTTTTTCTCTATCGTACTCGGGTATTTCATCCATTCGTCTTTCCGGTTGTCGTACTCCATGGTACGGTTTTCCGCGGTTTGTCTCGAGTCCAGGGAGACGTGATTTTTGTCTGAAAATGTTGGAAACTATCCTTTAAATTTCAAAAGTGATACCCATGGACAGAAGTCTGCAATTGAGTGGCACACAAGACAAGAAAGAGGAGGAGAAGTTTTGCTGAAACCCCATTTTAAATTATGACATTCCAAATCGAAAACTAACTAGACATCGTTCCTCTTACTGTTTGTTGAACGGGGAAAGCGAGACAAAAATAAGTATCGAAATAACCACTTTTTTTCTCGTTTTCCAAAATCTCAATCCACAGATCGATTCGTCGTTCTCTCTCGTACACGTGTCGAGCTACAAAAAATTGTGCGATTGACGTTCAACACCGTAATCAATGTCAATACTGTCGACTGACAAAATGCATTCGAATGGGAATGAGAAAAGAAGGTGAGCGAATAGATCGTCATAAAACCTGTAATAGAAAGGCAAGAAATTTTGATTTCCAACTACCATATTTCCTCTAATGGGAGCCAACCTAAACAGTAAACTTTGAGCTCAATTTTTTCGATTTCTGTGAAAGATTTAACAAATTTGACAACTGAGAAACTGTTTATCATAATATCACCAATGTTTTATCAGTTGGCACTTTTTTGGTATCTCTCACAAGAATCGAGATAATTGAGCTCAAAGTTAACGGATTGGGCTGGCTTCTATTAGAGGAAATACGGTACTTCGAAACTGGATTTTGAAAATTTATCGCAAATTTTTTAGAGAAAATATTTTTTTAATTTAGAAGTCCTTCTATCACAGCTTTTACGATGTTTGATGTTGGATTGCATTCTGATGACCTAGCAACTTAGAAGTTTAGAATTTATGGTCTATCAGACATTTCAACTTCTCCCATTATTCATTATTTGTGGTTCTCATGTGGATTTCATCTGATACAGGGCGAAGATCCAATGAGACTCAGACCGCAGTTTCAGCAGTTCAACGAGGTCGTCTGCCGGTTCAAATGCCCAATTTCTTCCCGCCAAATCCATTTTTGAGAACACCATTTCCATTTCTACAAGTTCCATTAACTCCGTTGATGACTGCGGTTGCACAATTCGCCAAGCCGTCTGTTAAAGGTTAGTAGTTTTTGAATTTGGAATGCGTATATCTTCATTCACAGCTTCATTATTTTCTGGATTCAATTAGTTCATGTTGTAAAGTTCACAACATGTGAATTTCTGATTATGACCCAATGCTTTGAACAAACTTTTTGACTACATTTTTATATCTCTAATAAGAACCGAAATAATTGAGCTGAAAAGCTTGGCTCTATTAGAGTGTATATTTCCCAAACTCCAAACTTCAGAGTCAATCTTCGAATTTGCCGCTCAAACTATTTTTACCACTGTTCACTGGGCCCGTACCAGCATGAACAATTTGCCAAAATCTGACCAATTGACACTTCTCCGTCACAGTTGGACGCCAATCTTCGTTTTCGCTTTGGCTCATTCAAATTTCGGAATCAATCTGGCAACTCATTTGACATCCGGTGACAGTAGCAGTGGATCTTCTTCATCTCCAGGTTCGAAATCGGAAGATGAGAAGAGTGACGAGAAGATCATTGAAGTTGGAAGTATGCTCGATGAGCTCCCTTTTCTTGGATTTCAGGTTAGCTCTTTGATAGTAATTCCGTTAACTCTTTTTTCCAGTCCAAACTTGACAAACTACGTGACTATCATCTGGACCCCGTTGAAATTCAATCTCTTCGTGCCGTTCTTCTTTTTAGTTGTGGTGAGTTACAGTAATCCCCGATGCTTTCCTATTCTTTCAAAGTGACCTACCGTATACCTCCCCTTTCCTAGATGAGGTGGGGCAATCCAAGAGGGGATTAGAGCTTCTGGGTTCTGCTCTTTTTCGATGATTCTCTTCTCCATTTCCATAATCCCAGCCGACATGTCATCTGCCATTCGCACTTCAATTCTCTCCGAAATTTATACGCTCTCTTTTAGTCGTTTCCGAAATAGATAACGCCGTTCTTCTTCTTCTCCTTTTTTCGTCGACACCGCCAAATGACTTCTGAATTGTTGAAATAAAATATACGTTTTCAGATGAGGAGCCATTGGAGGAGAAGATCAAAATTGATGAAATTGTGGAGAAGTTAACATCAGCAATAGACGAATATTGCAAAATGAACAAGAGAAATGAGGTTAGGATTACATAACCTGATAGAAGCCAAACCTACTTTGAGCTTAATGATTTCGGTTCCTTCAAGAAATATATAACAAATTTCAACTGATAAACTATTTATCATAATATCACCATTATTTGATCAGTTGACAGGTTTTTGATATCTTTTGAAAGAACAGAGATAATTTATCTCAAAGCGCACATGTATTTTCTCTTTTATTAAAGAAAATACGGTAGTTGGGTTGATTTTGAACTAAACGACAACCAAATTTAAAAAATTTTTGATCAAATTTATAAATACACATGGCTTACAGAGATACCCCCAGCTATGCGAATGTCTTGAGGTTCTAAAATCCACGCGACACCTTCCGATCTCTCGACTCTTCTTCTCACGTCTTCTTGGCACGACTCCACTCGAATCGATTCTCTGTGATCTTCTCAATTCTCCGCTCCCACCGCCGCCAACATTACCACTTTTCCCCCAGTTTCCTCCTAGAACATAAACTACTTTTCTTTCGATTCTTTTGAAACATTTCGTTCCTGTGACCGAACACATCCCGATGATATTATCTATAAATCGTTTCTAGTCATTTCGTTAAATTACAGCTTTTACAAAATTGTATATTCATCCAGTCTCCCAAACGTTACTCTGATGTCAATAAACTTTTCTTTTTTCCTATTTTTTTTCTCAAGAACCATTTACATATTGACATTTGGTCCGCCCGCCACATACCGTAGGCAGATGTGTGAGCCGCCCGTATGATCGTCGCGGGAGTCATTCAACTCATCAACCATCAGTTTAATGTCTTTTATGCGCATATAGTTCATGCCCTCTTTTTATGCATTCGAACATTTCGGAAAAGCAACGAGTGTTTGGGATACAATATATCAGTGAGGGTTCCGAATGTTTTTAGAACAATCTAAATAATACAATTTTGCTCAATGAACGATTTGAGACTTCATTCTTTTTTTCTGTGGTACTGAGGATCGAGAAAAAAGATCCAAACGGATTTGAAATCTCGAGAAATTCAAAACTTTACAAAATTCAAAAATTAAGAAAATCGAAAACTCGGAAATTCGGAAGTTTAGAAGTTAGTGCGACGATTACAAAATAATCAACATTCAGAAAAAAAAGGCTCAGAAATTCAGAAACTTGAAGATTTATTTGGAAATTCAAAAATTTTAACATTTTGGATTTCGGATTCTTCTAGAAAACTGAGTCTTTTATAAACGTCATACAAACCATTTTTCTAAAACTGTATTATCGTGACCTTCACATATATTTTCAGATGACAGTTTCAGTACCGAGTGATACGCGATTACCGAGTCACAAACAGTCATCAAGTACCGTACTTGACAGTCGTATAGTAGGCTTCAATCAAGTATGACTTGTGGGTACATGCGAGATGTGGCTACAGCCAACACATGGACCTTTTTCAAACTATTGTTTCGATGGAAAGGAAGTGTCTGGAAATCGATTCATATGGAGCTGATCGTTTGGTTGTTCGTTTTTGTTAATATTCGGAATGCTTACGAGTTCTTTATTCTTGGTTCAAGTGCTGCAGAGACGTATGAACACATTGTTCATAGGTGTAGAGAGGTGAAACAATACATTATGACATATCTAAGTAGGAACGTTTTTCAGATCTCCGGAAAATGTCGGACTATGATGACATTTGCGATTGGATTCTTTGTGACCTATGTATCGACTCGTTGGTGGAGCATCTTTATGACAATTCCTTGGCCGGATACTTGTGCTCTTCAACTGACTGCTTTTCTGAGAGCCCGTGGAAAAAAGTACGAACAAGAAGATCGACTGTTTCGGCAGAACATCATGAGATATCTCTGGTTATCATATGTTCTCGTATTTCGGGACGTTTCTGTGAGAATTAAGAAACGGTTTCCGTCGGTGAAATCTATGACACCGACCTTGTTGACGCAGGAAGAGCTGACCAAGTTAAAAACTTCTAGTGTGAGTTTTAGAAAGTTTTTTAGAATAACCAGATATTCATCAAAAAACACGAAAATTTGCGTTTCTATTCCACAGCTTCGATTTTTTATTCAGTATATTAATCAGATACATTGTCGGAATTATAAAAATGCGATTTCGGTGAATGCAGACTCAGTACAAAAATTGAGTGTTTTGCAATGAGTCTGTATACACCGCAGGTCGCAGTTTTATAATTCCGACAATAATATATTAATTATTTTGATTAGGATTTCCAATTTTAGGATACAGTATTCCTGGAATGCGAAAAGAATCATCTAAATTGTTTATAATAAATTTTCAAATCTTCCAGAAAGAAATGCGACCATGGGTACCGATTGAATGGATCCTTGACTACCTTCGTTCCGCTAAAAAGAAGTGTCTTCTGGATGAACTTCATTATATTGAACTGAACCAAACTGTGCTAGCCTATCGTCAACAACTTCACGAAATTCTATCGCATGATTGTATTACTGTACCGCTGGTCTATGTACAATCAGTCCATATTTGTACTATTTGTTATTTTGTGATCACTTGCTTCTCTGCACAAACCATTCACTCGGATCATAAATCATGGGAAGGAGTCATTGATTTCTATCTTCCAGTTTATGCAGTCATTGAATTTATTGTGTTTGTTGGATGGTTAAAAGTGAGTATGAATCTGACAATTGGAAAACACCTTTTTCGATTTTCAGACAGCTTTTGTGATGCTAAATCCCTTTGGAATGGATGACGACGACTTTGAAATGAATGCACTAATTGAAAGAAATATGATGGTTTCGTTGAGTTATATCAATGATTTCTATGATAAACCACCGAAGTTGGTTGACATGAAAGTTCGTCTTCCTACTAATTTGGTAAGATCCAAGTTGGAATGCTGGATTTATTGAGTCCCATTTCCAGCAAGAAGTGGTTCGTGAGAACGCTAATCCAATGCATGGGTCGGCTGTTCCTGTGAAAATGTCGCGAGTTCATGAAGCGATGGCTGACGATCCACAATTTGCCAATCTCTTGAATTCAGTTCTTCCGAGTGCTCGAGATTCGACGACAGCATTTCAGACGCATCGACCTATCAACGAATTCCCGAATATTGCAAAAAGTGCAGCAATGGGAATTATCTCTACGGATGATGAAAAATCCGATAGAGGAGCATACCGTAATCCGGAGAACTCTTCAAAAGATGATGGTGGCGCTGCTGGAGAATTGAGATCAAAATTCCTGAAACAGGAAGATTTTGAAGCGGCTGTCAAGAAAGTTCTGGATAAGAAATTGGCGGAGGAAAGAGAAGAAAAAGAGGAGAAAGAAGAAAAGAAGGAAGAGAAAAAGGAAGAAAAGCTAAAATCATTGTCTCCAGAACCAACACAAAGGAGCTGGTATCAAGAGGAGCCAACTCAAAAGACGTGGGTGGGACCAGATGAAGGACCAAGTGTATTGCAGAAAAAGATCAGTGTAAGTTGAATTGATAATACAATTAGGAATATGAAAATGCCCACACAGTATTTCAACCTGTATAAACTTGTAAAGTAATCTTTGTTCTAGAAAATTCGTCCTCGTCCAAGCAAAGCCGACGTTCGTCTCTCTACAACAACCCAAAATGCGTCAACTCGAAAGCCGTTGTCCACATACAAAAAGGCATCTGGAGCCGCCACTCCATCCACGTTAACGTCCCCACAAGCTCCCAAGACAAGCGCAGAAGCAGAATTGAAATTGGACAATACGCAATCTGGAGAAAAATGATTGATTACTCTTATTTCAATTGTACTATTTTAATCCAATTAGAAATACGAAAAGCTACTATTCTATAAAAAATTCAATAACCAATAAATGAAAACTTCGACTATGGATTTTTACAGTTTCAGAATCCTTTTATCTTCTTATCATTTCTTCCGTCGTTACCCTAGGTATAGGTTACTCTTTACTGCCTTATTTTACTCCAAAAAAATTGCCGGAGCAATTCCTTCATTAGTTTCGAGCAGGCGCATCTTCTTCTGGAACTTTTGAGAGTAAGCGGGATTCTCTAGAAGTATGTTGAAAATAAGAAAGAGTAGTCGTATTATATTTACATTGTAATGAAACTCTATTTTCTATTCTTGATACTCATGCAATTTCAATGAAGTGCAGACCAACTTCATTCTACCAGCTGTCTGAACTGACTTGCAAGTTGCACATTACAATCAAAATATTTTGTAGATGTTCACAGTTTCAGAATTATTTTATCGTCTTGTCATTCTTTTCATCGTGTTCCTCGTACTTTATTACCCCTTTCTTCCCCTTTCTCCCCCTTTCTAGCCTAAAAAGGTCCCATTTAACCCAGTTGCTCATTTTTCAGAATATGTGCTCGAATCCCGTCCGGGGCAATACTTTTTTGATTTTTTATTGACGTCTAAAGCATTTTAAAACTTTTTTGACAATGTTTTAGCTATCTGACTAGACTGTATTTATGAAATTTTAGAACGGAAAAGTTTATTAGTGATGCGATCCGAAAAAAAACCAAAATGATCTAAAAATTTTAAGTTTTATACTGTGTTTCCTTTGTACCAGAACTGTTACATTACTCCTCTCTTCGGTGAGTTTGGCTAATAGAAAAGAAAGTCCATTCTTTGCTGAGCCGCTATGCCTCATCGATCTTATCGGATACATGTGTTCATGTAATTACGACTTAGTCTTATGATGAGAAGAATTATTAAGTCATGTTCTAGATGTATTCCTATTAGCCAGAAAAAAAGCAAATCATTTTTATTCGGTCTGGCGTTTGATTCAGTGGCAATGTAACCGTGTGTTCAGAGCATAACTAGACTACGATAACAAACTTAGCAAATGAGCATATCTAGAAAGTGAGCATTTAGTAAAAGATCATCAAGCTAATGAGTATTTGCCTTATTTATGAGGTTTTCACAAATTAATATCATCCTCATTGTTTTGTTGTTGTTTTCATCGTGTTCCTCGTACTCGATTACCCCGGAAACCACTCTTTTTACCCCAAAAGGGTCCCTTTTGACAGAGTTTCACAATTTTCAGAATATGTGCCCCGGTGGCCGAGTGGTCGAAGGCGTGAGACTTATGTTCTCATTCGGGCAACCGATCGCGGGTTCGAATCCCGTCCGGGGCAATACTTTTTTGATTTCTTTTTATTGATGTCTAAAGTATTCGAGAATATTTTTGATTAATTTTTTTCAATTTTAGGATCATTCTCAGGTAACTGCGGAAACTCTTCTTAGTTCTGAAATTTTGCATAACCTGTTTTTGTTGTATTTTTATGGCCTTCCTAATGACTCATCTTGCAAACATCATTTTGTTTGAATTTTCTTATCAACACACTTTCCAAATGAACAGTTTTGGCGACACTATTTCAAAAATTGGGTTGGTTTCTGTTCAATTTGACCTACCAATAATAATGGTGATTCAGAAAAATGTCCGAAAATGATCAACCGATATCTGAAGTAACGTTTGTGTTAAAGAGTCAGAATGAAGTCGAAATAAAATTTGGAGAAGATGGAAAAGAAGTTTTCAGATGTCATGGAGAAAATGACTCATTTTTGAACAACAAGACTGAAGTTGTAAGGTGAGATTTTTAAATTTTCCGTACAAGAAACAAATCCTTTTTGTTGAAAAAGAGAAGGTTCAAATGGTCCAAACAAGATATTCTTGAAACTACAGTAGTCAATATCAATTGCCAAGAAGCTGCCTGGAAAAATTTTAAGAATATTCTAGATCAACAAAACAATACTGTAGATTCTCTAGTTTTTGAATTCAAAGTTGCCGAAAATCGTGAGTCAAAATTAAATTGAATCTTTCATCTCGATTAGCTTTCCGATTTTCAGCTCAAAATTTCAATTTTCCACCTCCTCTTCCTGGAAATACAATTTCGTGTAAATCATTATACCCATTAATTCTTTCAATGAAACCATGTATCCAAAGTCTTCATGTTGATCAAATTGGTTATCCATATAGACTATCGACGGGATTCGGAGAACTGATTCAAGTGAAAACTGCGAAGAAATTGTGGTGTGCAATAGCGATGAAAAAAGAAGAAGTTATTAGACTGGAAGGATCCGATATCAGCATTGATCCACTTTTTTTTTGATCAATGTTTTGTTGTGAATCTAATGAAGGTAAGTTCAATTTTATGGATTCTCTGATTTCAATGTTCGTTGCGACGGAAAATTCAAGAGTGGGCGGAGCTTAGGTTCGATATCATGCTGGTATGCAAAAATCGGAGTTGTGGAAGAGAAAATCTGGAAAAAAAGGACCAAACATTTTGGGTAACTGTGGTTTTCCTTTTTCACAGCTTCGATTTTTTGTACCAGAAGCATCATGTATTTTTCGGAATTATTTTCCGTCCTATTTTTTCGATTTTTCGATGATTTTTTTTTTGTTTTTGTGCGAACTTTTGCGATTTTTCCGGATTTTTGTGGAAAAATCCAAATTCGAGAAATCGAAATAAGAAGTCTAGGAAATAATTTCGAAAAATACATGCTCCTTTAAGGATTTTGCTACCGGATATAAGCTCCGCCCATCCTCGAAAAAATTAGACCAGATGCAAGAAAGTGGAAAACCGTTTTCCGATGTTTGGAAAATGCTTTTCTGACAGTGTTAAAATATTTATTTCGATTTAAAAATGGATTCGGGGCTGAAAAATGACTAAAAATGCATGTAATCACTGTAAAAATTCTTGTCAGACTTTCAGAAAATCGTTTTCCAAACACCGAAAAACGGTTTTCCACTTTCTTACATATGGCCTCAGAGTAATATACTGCCAGTAAGGGGAATTCAACTGAAAAAAAAACAATATCATACAAAACACACTTCATTCGCAATATTTAAAGAATCTGATTTTCTGAATCGCCTTATTTTTTACTGGAAAAAAGAGTAGAGGAAGTGGAAGGAGTATTGGTAGATTGATAGTAAGAAGAAGAAGAAGATCCACTTGCATCTGAAGTGAATTGAGTTTCCGAAGAACTCGCTGACAAGGATTCGGCCGACGACTTGCCGGTTTTCGAAGAGATCATCGCATAGAAATTCTGGAAGTTTTTAATTTTGAATTTGAATATAATTTGTTAGTACCTTGTTAGCTGCCGCGTCACGGAAAACACTCAACTCTTGAGCCAACTTTTTAGCCTCTTGCATCACTTTTGGATTCGATGATTGCAGTCCGTAGAGCCCTTCAATTGCACCACGGAACACACGTTCCATCTGGAAGTTTTGGAAGTCTAGAACATTTCAGTAAAACGATAACATACAGATGGCTCATCAGTCGGATATCCATCCAACGCTTCTCTCTCCATTCTCTCAATACGTTGAACCATTTCAATCACTTGTTCTTTCAAATCCTTCATATCCAAATTAGCCGAGTAGTTTCTATAGGACTTGTTCATCTGGATAATGGAATCCTTCAGAATGTTCACTTTCTTCTCCAGAGTTTGCACATCCTTAACCATCAATGTTGAGTTCAACTGAAAGAAACTGTGTATCCAAGTATCCAGATGTCATCTGACTCACAGCCGCATCAGCCACTGCTCTTGCTTGTTCCACTCGTCTTTCCATCCATTTCGTGTTTCCAACCCGTTCTCTATCAATTTGCTCCTCCAGTTCCGCCAGCATCGACTTCAGTTTTCCCAGATTTTCATGACTCAAAAGCTGAATACCGCGAAGTTCCAAAGAAGTCTCACGACGGTAAATGTCTCCTTCACGAATTGCTTCTATCGCCGTTTCTGTCGCATCCAGGCACTGGGTAATCGTTTTGAGAGAGCTCTAGAAATAGTTTTAATCATTGGAAAATTCTCAAGTTTCGAGAATCCCGACCTCCTTGTTTTCCATCGCTTTTATCACAGAAGATTCTTGTCAAAAACGATGAACAATACACTTGGTGAATACTGAATTCGTCGGGTTTCAGTCACTGTGACACCTGAGATACGTGGGGCAACTGGGTACTTTCTAGGACAAAAAAAAGTTCACGCGGAAATTGGTCGTAGGTCCCACAGCGACAACTAAAGTAACCTAAAAATATTGTTAATTTCAGGATTTTTAATGTCTCGTGTTTTCAAAAACATTTAATTGGAAATTAGTAAAAATAACAAGAAGAAAAACTTCGAAAAAAAATGGTTTTTAGGTTACTGTAGTTGTAGTTGTGGGACCTTCGGCCACGGCCTCCGGCGTTCCTTCCCACAGCTCCGATTTTTGCATACCAGCGTGATATGAGCTAAATATTAAGAAGTGAACACCTCACAAACCTCTAATTTTTCAGAAAAGTATCGAGACAGGAAACCCGCAAAAGTTTCGAGTGTTTCGAGGTGGGAAAACCCCCCCCCCCCCAAGGCGTCCTTAAACACTTCAACTCCATCCCATGTTCTCCGGAAATCGCTGAAAGATTCAAAACATTTGATTACGAAATGCTTCCAGGTTGCCAATATTTTCTGGTATCAGTCCCCGAAAAACATGTAAATCTATTCTTAGAATTTTGTAATGGTCGTCAAGATGTTGTTGGAGTTATTCTTTAAATTTGTTTGTGGATAAAGTTTTATAAATTCTCCTTGTTATGTCTTTATTTGTCTAATGACTCACAGGCATGTGTGAAACTTTTGATAAGAGAAATTCACATTGATTAATTTTTCCTTCTCCTTATATTTTTGGCAAATGTCTGTCTGCTGGCCGAATCTTCCAAAAGATGTCAAACGAATTATTGTGGAACCGTTGTGTAGAATCGACAGGTTGGTTTTTTTTTAAATGTTACATACCATGAAACCTGTAATAGAAGAGTTTCCTAACTTTTAACTTTGAGTCAATTTTTTTCGGTTACTGTCAAAGATATCAAAAAGCTGTCGACTAATAAATTGATTATCATAATATCAGAAGTTTTTTGTCAGTTGACAATTTTTGATATCTTTTATGGAAACCAAGATAGCTAAGCTCACACTTGACAGTGTGCGGTCCCTACATTACAAGCGTTACGGTAGTTTTTATTCCATTATTTATTTCAGATTAAATTTGCGACAATGTTCTTGGGGTGACAAATTGTTTGTTGACCTAGTGTCCAAACCGATTCGGGAAGTTAATTTTATGGCAAGTCGAAGTGTGAATAAAACTCAAAGTTCCAGTTCAAGAAAAAGTTTTTCTTCCAGTATATCATAATCCGATACGATGAAGAATATGAGGATTATTTTGGACACTCGGAGGGAAATACAGAAGTTCGAAGGTTTGAAAAAAAACCTAATAAATCCTAAATTATATCCTTTAGATCCAAAAATCTTCTCCCTTTTAACAGTTTTTCAATGAGCGAAGATTTTCAAATAGTTGCTTGGCGAAGCCTCCAGAAGATGATGAAATCTCAAAATAATGAAATCGATACATTGAATTTTTCGTTCATCGGAAGACTCAATTTCAATGAGGAAGATAATGAACAGCAAATAATTATTCCGAATCTTCCAGAGAAAACTTTAAATGTCAGAAAATTATCGATATTTCTGGATTCTTCTGAAGAAATGACGAAACGAATCGTACAGTTTGCAAAGCCTGGATTAGATAGTTTGAATGTCTCAATAACAGTGAAGAATGTGAATGATCCATCTGAAATGGGAAGTTTGGAACAATTGAAAACTGCAAAGAAGATCCGTAGTAATCTAATGTTGACTCTTAATCACTCCATGGAATTAGAAGGAGACGAAGTTATTAACAAAACAACACTTATCAATGATGAGGGCGTCGTTGAGCTATTGAAAGTAAGTGTAAGCTACGTCGGATCAGAAACGATTACTGTGAGGCAAAATTTTCAAAAATTGGAATAATTTCTATAGGGAAAAATCGAAAAATGAAAATGATTACTGTAGGGAAAAATATTCAAGAACTGAAAGAATTAATGTAAGGTAAAATGTTTGGAATATAAAACGGGGTACTGTAGAGAAAAATATTCAAAAATGAGAGATTACTGTAAGGAAAATATTGGGAATTGGAAAAAAATACGGTAGGGTACAGTATTCGAAAAATGAAAAGGATTACTGTGGGAAAACATAAAAAATGAGAAAGTAGGAAGAAATTGGAAAATAAAAAGATTCCTGTACAGTAAAATATTCGAGAATGAAAAGGATTACGGTAGGGGAAAACTCGGAGAAAATGAAAAGGATTACTGTAGGAAAAATATCCTACAGCCTTTTTTACTAAGTTGAGTTTCTTGTGTATCGTTCCAATTTTTCAGAAATCACTATCCAGCGGAAAACCTTCGAAGTTCCACTACAACCGATTGTGGCCCGATATCCCAACCATTGTATCGTCTTTTGATTCAATTGCATGGAGTCTCGAAACATCTGAACAATTCGATAATCTTGGGAACCATTTTAAAATCGATCTTTCTAAAAAGAATTTTATTTTGTCAAACGACAATTCTAGTTTATTTGTTGAGTTTGATAAGTTCTCTGCAAGAGGGTTCATCTTGAATAAACAATAACAATCCTTTATGCAATGATACAGTTTCGATCACAATTTTCAGCACAATAGTAAAAAAAAGCAACTCGAAACCCATTTAAATATTTGAAATTTGAAATGAAAATGAAAAAAAAACTATGCAAATGTACATGAATGAAAGGCTGTAAAACGACTAATTATTGACCCATTGAGCACCAAAATACAATTTGGCAATATCGTTCATTCGAACGAATGGTATGGCGGCCTGCGCTGATTGTGGCACCGAATTTCCTGCTTTACCAAGTGACGACACTGCTTCTTGCCACGTCTTTGGATTGGATTCGATCAGTGGATCTCCCTCGGCTCCTTCGTATAATTCTACTCGGGCTGCTTCTTCACCGGCAAGAGCACACAGATACTGAGAGTGTGCAGTACTGAATCGTTTGTTGGCTTCAGTGGCCAGTTGGATGAGTCTTCCCGCCAATACTCGTGCTAATGCCACAGCTGACCGATCGTCACGAACACAAGAAGCCAGTTCTAGTTTCCCTTGTTGATCGTTTCCGTGTCGGAATGATGCCAATGCTTGCTAAAAGTATCAAACATAAATCCTATTCTAAAACTCATGCATACCATAAATGAAATCTCGTTCACAGTCAACTTCCATTCCATCTCAAGATTTCTTGCCAGCCTCCTCTCTTCCATTCCTCCTTGCTCCGCAATTTTGATCAAAAACGCGTGCCTCTTCTCCATAGTTGCATCGTCAACTCGATCCAATGGAATCAAAGGATGCGAGTCAAGCGGGGCGAAAAACGCACGATTCCCGGTGACACAAAACAGATTTCGTAATGGGTGGAATTTTAGACCTGTGGTTAGTTGAAGACGGAGAGCTAGTGCAAGATGTTGATGATGGAGTACCAGGTGAAAATTGACAAGTGGCTGACGAACTGCAAGCATCCAGAGCTGATCTTGCCTTGGAGAAATTTTCGATTGTTGCAAATGAGACGAAAATGAGGAATAGGCCATCTAAAACACATTATGTGAACTACAAAAACTTCTTCTGAACCTAATTCCTACCTCAATCAACAGATCTTGTTTAAAATCCATCGGCGCCGGTATATCTCTCACCGAAATCATGAAAATGTCCAAAAACTTCTCACATTCCACCAAAAACTCCTCCAATCTCACTTCTCTCATACCAATTTCTTTTCGACACTCTCGATCTTTCGGCCTGCGTCCAGTTTTCTCAACCATCTGAACAATAGATTGGAAAGCAGCGCCGACAAATTTGTCCCAGATGAGACGAGCAATTCCGTGACGAAGACGTGGATCAACAACAGACTTTGGTAGTAGAGAAGTGCACTCCTGGAAATAGAAATAGGTTTGATGGGATAGAAAGAAAATAATTCTTACACTTATATTTGAGAAGTTCTGATCCTTTTCCCGAAACCATAGCGTTATCATCTCCCAGCAAACATCTGAAATGTGTTTTTCTGATTATTTTCAGTTTCTGTTTTTGAATTTTTGTCCTACAGTAATCCTTTTCAGTTCACATGACAGTTGTTTTTTCAAAATTCGTTGTTCCCTCCTCGAGACCGCCTTCGCCTTCCCCTCCGCTATTTTCTCAATTTTTTTCATTTTTCTTCACATCTGATCTACAGTCGACTCCCATACCGACGTTCATTCCAAACCGTACGTCTAGTGTCCCTGCTATACGGGTGCTGCGCTCTTTCCGCCTGTCCATCCGTTACGGAGCAGCAGTGTCGGGAGCACACGCACACTGTTTGTGCAGTCTCTCTGTCACACAAGCACCACACACACACACAAAGAGACAAAACACCACTCCGAATGCGGTGGATAGTGTCCCGTCATTCTTTCCAATTCCATTCCGTCGCGCCACCCTCTTCACCCAACATCCGTATTTCGTTCCAACCGTTCCACCTCTCTCATTTTTCTACTCTTTTATTCTCAACTTTTGCTTTTCAGCGCCTTTTTTCTACAACCATTTGCTTCTGATTCATAATGCACCCATATAAAACGTCATCACCGTCTTCTTCTTCTTCTACTTCTTGAATCGCAACTTTTCCTTACGGCGCTGGATGTCTCAGGTGTCGTCTCGTTCTCTTTTCCACCTCTTTCCGAATTGGCCTGATATATCTCTCGATGTGTGTTTTGTATGTTTGTTTCTGCGCCTATTCCTCTCCTCTCATCTTTCGCCCCTTCTTCTTTCTAACTTCTCACCCCGACCACCCGACGCGTGTTATGTCCTTGGTAACGTGACGGAGGCGGTCGGGTAGATGGGGCCGATGAACGAGAAGTAGAGGGAGAGACATACACATTTGACACACGCGACGACCGCCACAACATTGCCGACAATCGATTCCTGTGTCCCTTTGGTGAACTGTTTGTTGACACAGTACTAGTAGGACTCACTATCTTCCCCTGTCCACACGTTATTCGTTACTCACCCCCTAGTATCTTCTTCATCTTCTTCACGTTCCCAGAATTCAACTCTCTAGATTCTCTCATTCATCCAGGTGATATGGAAACCGGTGTCCGCAAAAAACGAACACTTGCCGAGCGTCGAGAATCCGATAAGCTCCGACAAAGAAGGTTTCGTGCTAAGAAAAGAGGTACTAACACCCTGATAAATTCTGAGTTCAACTTCTTTGCAGAAGAAGCACGTCTTCTAGAAGCTATCACCGGAGTCGTAGAAGTACAAAAGCCAGAAAGGAGCTATTCAACTCCTAAAAAGACCGCTGAAGAGATTCGAGAAACAAACCGGATTCGTCAGCAGAGATTCAGAGCCAAACGACGAGATGGAGGATCCCTGATAGATTCAGTTCTAACTATGGAAGTTAAGAAGGAAATAGAGCAGCCGGAAGAAGTACCAACTACAGCATCTGTGTCTCAGCCTCCAACTGATCCAGCAGATATCGTTCAGCGTATTCTTCTACAGGCAGCTAGTGACGAGAAAACTAGACTAACTGAAATTCGACGAGAAAAGGATAGAATCAGAAAGCGTAGAGAGCGTCAAAGAAAGAAGGATCATGCATTGAAAGAGGGTGGCTTGACAACTGAGCAGATCTTGAAACACCGTGAGTTTCTAATAAGAATCGCATCGACATTTCTTATTTGCTCTGATTTTCAGTAACGGGATTCCAACAAAGCACACAGGAAAAGGACCAACCAACCGAACCACAGAGAGAATATGAAAACACTGATGAATTCGCTATGGAAGTTGATCCTGCAGAAGCAGACGATGTCGAAGAAACAAAAGAGATACATGAATTCGATGCCCAACATATTATGGCACAGCTGGTTCAGATGGGATTAGTTCTTGGAGAATCGCCTTCTTCGGACGGCAGTGACGAATCTCCCGTACTCGAAATCAAAGAGATGACTCCAGAAACATCAGAATCCACGTCATCTCCACCACCTTCTTCAATTCTAGATGTTTTCACTCTGGAAAAGAAGCCCTGGCAAAGATGTAATACATCGGAAGAACGACGAGAACGAGAACGTATGAGAAAAAGAATGTATAGGGCAAAGAGGAGGTTCATCTCAACGGGAAAACTGGAGATGCAATGGGATCCGAGTCCGATCAAGAGGTCACCAAACGATGATCCAGAGGATGGAATAACTCCGCTTCCAGATTGGAGTAAAAGTTCGTCGGCCGAAGAAAGACAAGCCGCTCATAGAATTTATAATAAGAGATATCGTGAAAGGCTGAAGTATTCTGGTGAATCTAGATAAAAAAAGAGGGAAACTGTTATTGAAAAATTTTCAGTAATGAGAGAGGAAGCATCCAGAAGTCAGAGTAGAGAACCTTCGCTCACTTCGAAACAATCAGAAGATGGAGTCGCATCGGAGAGAGAAATTTCTAGATTAGAATGCCAGAAAAAGTAGAAATATTGCCACGGGTTATCGAATAGAACAATGCATATCGAAAAATCACAAATACGATTCTTTTTTTTATTTTTCGTGATACAAATGTTACCTATTTTTTTTTCATTTCATCATTTTCACCCGAGTACAAAAATAAACGATTGTTAAAATACTTACCAGCAACCACCAAATCATGTTCGAAGACTCTAGGAATCATCTGATACATCCTTTCAACGATAGTTTCTTTGTCTTCTGGAAAGTCCACGATCATTTTGTTTCTTCGATCTTCTTCGTCCCCTTCTTCAGCAAGCACCTCTGTTGGGTCACGAGGAAACAGTTTCTCAAGAACTTCCGTCTCGATAGACTCATTGACTACCCATTTGGCTACCTGGAAATATTGGGAAACAGGATGCATTTGTTTAGTATTATAAAGACCTACATTTTCTCGGATATACGAATCTATCCTTTGTGCCACGTCAGATATCCTTACATCGCATGGATCTTCATCTATCAATGATTGGGCAAGAGCTACACAATGGAGACACATCATGATACTATCCAGATGCTCAACTTCTGGAGAAACTGCGTCCCATTCTTCGAATGTTTTGTTCTTCTCCTCATTTCCCTCGTGTTCTTCTTCTTCATGTTCTGATTCCTCTAAGTTATCTTCCGAGCATTTGTCTTGATGTTTCAATTGTCGCATTTGTTTTCTAGCACACCAACAAACAGCCAAGAGAAGTATTCCGAGAGTCACGTTCTTTGAGTCCATAGCCATCCGGTCAACGCTTTCGAAAACACCGGTCTCCGACTTTTCGAGGTTCACAAATAGCTCAACGATCCTGTTAAATATTCTCCAATCGATTTTATTGGTTGACTTGTTCAGTTTTAAATAGAAAAGCTTCACAATGTTCTGTCGATTTACAGGAAGTTTCTCAAGTACAGTATCGTAGTACTCATCAATTTGGAATGATCCGAGAAGAGGGGCGAAGATAAGATTAGCCAAAAGAAGACGACGATTTTCGGACCAATGCCTGAAAAAAACGTAACTTAAAATTTCGTATTTCAAGTAAACCAACTCTGAAAACACATCGATATCCTCATGTGACAAATCTACATGTTTTAGCCATTCTCCCACTTTCAACGAATCATTCACTGCATCCGAACGCTCTCCAAACCGTTCCATGTGACATTCCAGAATTCTCTCCACAATTGAATCTAATTCATATGCCGACTTCTTCTCGTATTCTCCGATAGCGGGCTTCGATTCAGCCACTATTCTAGCATAAAATCCGATCGATTTTTCAGCGACATTTGGTAAATCTGCTAGCGAGCCAGCATTCGGAAGACTCTTGATTCTTGCGATAAAATTGTGTGCTTCTTCGGCAGTTGACAGTCCATGAAGTGCATTTTGGAACGTGATTTTTCGAGATGTAGTCATTCGCAGATCAGAAAATGTCTTGAACCAGTCACCAGATCCCACTTTCTGATGCTCCAACTCTTTCAGACGAAGATGATCGTGTTGGTCTTGTCTCGCTCTACTTGTCAACGCGAGGTGGAATGGCATCACAATTCGATGAAACTCGCCTTTCTCATCAATGAAGAACGAATTATAGTCAGTGTGCATGTGACATCGGCCGCAGAGCATTTTATTCTCTCCACCAGAAACCACATTGCATTCAGAAGATGGCACGTGTTGAGCACAAACTCTGACGTTTCCCAAAACTGTCCAGACTTCTAGAAGTGATCGTCGTGGTGCGAAGATAGTGAGAAATTGAGCGAATCTGTCGTCTTGCGTCGAAGAAACCCATGACACGGAAGCATCTCGATACCCTTTGAATATTAGGACAACTTGGCGATTGATAACCTGCAAATTAAATTCTTTGAGAATTTAAAAAATCTTTCAACCTACATCTATTATAATTACTCTTGCCAGTCGGTCTGTGACTGCGACATAGTTACAGTCTGGTGATCTAGAAACAGTCTGAGCTATTCTAGTCTCCAGAATCAAGCTTCTTGTTGGAGCATGAACGGCGGATCTCATATGGGAGGCGACTCGAGTGGGCTCTGTGGAAATTCCAAAAAACTTTCGAATTCCGAATGAAGGAACCAGTGACTTTCCGTATTTAATTACATCATCTAATAGTTTTTCTTGCTCTTCTCGATCATGCCAAACAAAAACAGCGAATTCTTTTTCAGTTGTTACCATGAACGTTGAATATAGAGGAAGTGATGGTTTCTCTACTTTTGCATAAAAAGAATCATAGGAAGCCGAAACGTATTGCTCAAAAGTGGATGGTTTTTGAAGACCAGTGAATACAACGTGGATAATGTTTCCTTTGATGTCAGGAGCCAAAAGTTCCGATTGAAGCTCAATGGACTCAGATATCTGTTTCACTGTTTTCTCTCCCTTCGCAATTAGAACTTTACATTGGTAGAGAACAGATTTCAGTGATATTGGGTTGACCATGAAGAATCCTTTGGTGAAGACGACGAGAAACGTTTGGCCGGTCTGAAGAACATAATAATTTGGGCACAGTTACGGAACTCACCTTTACAACATCAAATTGCAAACTATTCACAGGTTCGAATATAGAAAATCGATCATAATACAACATCGTCCCTTGCTCAGTGAAGAAATATACATGCCCATCCAGCGTTCCAAGTGCGATGATTATTGAATCCAACAGCTCAATGTGCCTCACATTTGTTAATCCGAAGATGCAAGAAGCTGTAATTTCATTACCAACTGGGTCTCCTTCGATATATTGTTTGCATACGATTTTGTATTGATTCTCTGGAATTTGAAAACTATTTAAAACTATTCAATTGGAATCAATTACCATCTGGAGGCTTCCGAAGTAAAACAAATCGCGATTCCCAAGTTACTAGAAGATACTCCGCATCGGAGTAAGTTTTCAAATCACATCGGAACAACCAATTTCTCATCGATTCATCTGATTCTGTGGTGTTTTCAGCGTCTTGCTTGTCACCCCAATCATCCCATTCTTCTACATTTTCTTTCCTTTCTGTAGTTTTGCAGAACTGCGTTTCGTTACCGTCGGAACTGTCCGAGTTTTTGCGCTCAAATCTTGCTGGAAAATAATTATGTATATTTTTTGCAGCCAAGGATTGTCTCACATTCATCAGCAGAATCTCCAAGCAGATACTTCTTTACCTGCTTCGCAACTTCATCACTAACTCCACAATAAGCCTCTAGATTCACCCGAGTCACCGACATTTCATTATACTTCTGAAATGAAACAGTTTTGTGAACAAATATCGAATATTGTTGTGTAATGGTTGCTAGGAATCTTGTGATGGATGGAGAGTGCAGGCGAAACGAGGAGGAATCAGAGAAGAATCGTGCTAAAGAGCGAGTATGCAGCATTTACTTTTAAAGGGAGAGACCCTTGAAATTCCGGGGAAAAAACTCCGGGGAAAAACCTCCGGAGAAAAGT